GATGGTGGCATCTTGACCTGAATGTCATCTTTACTTCTCTTTCCTCCTTTTCCTTTCTTCTTCTTATCTCCCATCATCAGAGTCCTGAAAAAATAGGACATTCAAACAGTATATCATACACTGCTTCTACTAATATATAATTGTACATTATTAAAGTTACACAAATCGTTAATTTCAGTTTTACCTGAGAGCCTCGTAGCGACTGATGTGTTTAGCCATCTCTGGTAGCTCTGACGTCTCCTTCTCCCAGGTAGACTGGTCATACGGCAGGTCACACCACTTCACCAAGTACCAGGTCTCATTTTTACCATTCCTGTAATTATATATGGTAATAATTGTACATAAACTCAAGGCATATTTATACACACTTATAAATTTTATACCTGTACGTGAAGTACCGTATTTGGGGGGAATACAATACGCACCTTTTTCCTAAAATAAATTTCTGTGAGAAAGAGATGCGTATTTTACATCACAATGGGATTTTGATAAGTTTTTCTTTCAGGTGAAACACGGCTATCATACGTTATTGTTGGAAGGTATGCTTGTTAAAAATAACACTTTCATAATATTTTGATACTAAAATGACATGAAAAAGCAAGTTAAAACAATTTGAGCTCCATGTTTATCGTCTCCGTGTAGGCCGCCATTACCGATGCTATTTTAAGACGTTAACACATTCCTTTGTCACGTGCTTCCGTAATCATAGTACATATGCACCTTATCTGCCTGACAAAGTAGTAAGTCATTTTTTAATGAAATACAATGAAATAAAATTTTTATTTTAGTTTTTAAATAACTCCGTGAAAATTCACTGCAACACAAACACCCCTTTATACGTCCCAATGAAAGGAAGCCAATGTCGTGAAACATATGCGCTGGTCACTTGATAATTACCTCTCAACACCCGTTACACCCCTCCAGGCAATTAATTGTCCGACTCCAAAGCAATGTTTCTACAGTTATAGCGATGATTATTTTCACTGTCCTTAATTGCTTTGGTTATTTTCTTTGTTCTCTATGTGTGAGCGTGTGTTGATTACGACACATTAAACAATTAAACACTTGTTAAATGTAATTTTACCTTATCTTATACTTATCGAACCCTTGTTTAAATAATTGAGATTTAACAGATTAAATATGAAGTAAGCTAAAACTTAAGTGTTATCATTTATTCGTGCTCTGTAAAAAATAAAATATCCGCGACGATTCAAGAGGAAAATCGTAGTCTACTTAATTTTTAAAATACTTTGATGTTTCAATTTCTTTTTTCAGCATGATTACCTCGAACCAAAATTAAATATGACAACTGTTTAAACTTGCAACAATATCTCATGCTTTGTTGATATAAAATTATTTCACCAAAGAATTATATGGCCACTTATTATTTCAAAATCACCGTATGCTTAAAAAATAAATTCTGTTAACACCTTTACGCAACATTATCTTGTGCTTTGTTGAAATTCATGAATAAATAATTTTCTCCAGATTGCCGCGATATGGAAATTGCAGATTAAGAAAAAAATATAAATGTATTTGAAAAAAAAGTGTGTTCTATAAATTTTTGACACATAATCTTCGCGCTGATTTTCGTTACAAACTACCGCGATTTTCAAAGTTCAGAACATCGTTTGGTAAAATTTTCTGTTGCGTATAATACATCCGAACTGCGTTTTTTTCCCCCAGTTCCAGACACAAAAAGGGGGGTGCGTATTTTACATCAATGCGTATTATACTCGGCCAAATACGGTATATGTTCATGTTTAAAATTTACATACAAGGTATAGACATCTATTTGTCTCACATCTATCATGTCAAAACTGATCCAGTGGAAATTTTGCAACTCTGAATGTTCTTCATACTAGTAGAGCTTAACACTCCTTACCTGTGATTGATGATCCTGTGGATCTCTAACCACTCCGGTCGTACTCCATACTTGTAGAACTTCTCTTCCAGATTGTTTTCATCATCTTCCTCTTTCTGTACGGGTTCCTTGCCATCTTTACTCTTTCTCTGTTTCTTGTAGTCCTTTCCGCCGTAACTACTGCCGTCTTCCAGAGGAGGTGGCTCATCCATGTCATTCTTTCGTATATATGCTCGGTACATGGCTGGGTGGTATACATCCAACTATCAATCAAAATAAACATCAAGATAAGAAAACCCGGATTTTTTTTAGCATTTAGACAAAACCTGTACTTTACATGATGTTCATTCAATGTAATTTTGTAATTCATTCAATTAATTTTTAAAATAATCAATCCCATCCTGATCATTTGATGCTAAAACACTTTGAAAATTGGAATACAAACATGAACGGTTTATTGTTGCAAGATCCTGCAAGGGTTGCTGGCTGAATGAACAATTCTACTTCTATACATTTTGGAGGGAGATTGTTACCTATACATTTACTATAATTAGGAGTTAAGTGGAGGGTGATAGTTACCTGTAGTTCTGAGATCCAGCTGCAGTGCCAGTAAGACAGGTCATGCCATTTGACAAAGAATTCCCGCAGAGGTTTACGGTTCTACAAAATACAGAAAAATTTAACTTCATATTGATTCATTGCTGAAAACTACATGTGTTTGGAACATTTAACTTTAAAAATTAAACAATTAACATTTTTATCAACTCCCACATGCTAGAGCACTTACATGTAAATAATCTACAGAAGTAAACAACAGAGAATGAACACAGAACATTAGAGCTTTGTTATAATAAAATGAACATGCCTCTCTACTAATGTCTAGATGAATATTTTGATGTTTTAATTTAATTTACTTTGTCGTTTTATTTAATGTAAGAGACATGAGCAATGTAACAGTGTTAGTTTAGAGTAACGTATCTTACACCAAAAAAGTCATGCAGTAAGGACAACAATGGGACCCTAACCAGCAATCCAATTCTCTTCACATTAAATCTCATTGTCATAAAGATTGTAAATAACAACAAAAAGATACAACTTTCTGGCAAATGAAATGAAAAAAGGCGTTCACTTGCCTTATTGCTCAACTCAATTAATCTTTGCAAATCCATGGGCTCATATTTACCCCCATTTTTTACCATTAACTTCAAAAGAAAAGAAACAAGTCAATTGGCTCATGATCAACTTGAGCATATGATCTGTTGAAGAGCCGGAGAAACCTCATTTGAAACAGTCCAAAGAGAATTTTCACAGGCACAAAGCAAAATCACTGTTCTCTCTCTTTGCATAAGAATTACAGTATATATTAAGATTCCACAGTGTAAACTTTAACATGAAGAACACTTTACATGTACTGATACAAGAAAAAGAATTGGTCGTAAATTAAAAGTGAGAATTTTTTCATGACACAAACATTAAACATACAGGAACTAAAACATAAATATTATAAACATGTCACATTGTATGCAAAGTTCTTATCTGAGACTTTTATTATGTACTAAATATTATATTACAGAGTGCATTGTTTACTAAGTAGTTGTAAGATGGCGTACCTTTTTGGTTGAGGCGGGCAGGTGTGGGTGGGTGTGGTCCAATTCCTCCATTTTTCCTTCCTCTTGGAGCGGCTCAGTCCAGCGCCAGGTCAATATTTTTGCTACCCTGCCTTTTAGGGGCTCACACTGTTAAAGACAAATATAAATGTACTTCATATGCTCATCTACAATGGATCAGCAAGTAACATTGGCAAGAGATTTTAACATAGCAGTCTTAAAATGATACTGTTAACTTACTGAACACCTGGGACAGTGCCACTCGCCGTCTGGGATCATTTTCATTGGTGGATTAAGACAGTGGACGTGATAGGCTGAAGGACAGGTGTCACAACACAGGAGCTCTCCCCCGTCCTTACAAACCCGACAAAACTCCATATGATCGTCCTCCTCCTGCTCCTTGATTCCTTCACCCTCCTACAAATAAACACTTAGATTACAACGTTTGATCACAGAAATTTATTTTTTAAAATATTATAAATCCCTAAAATTCTGGTGATTTCCCCTCTGTAAAATGTCAATTCCAATCTTATTATGAATTCAACTTTGCAATTTTTGGTCAAGGATATACATATCATAGGAAGTTTATTACATCATGATACATGTATGTCACATTTATTTCTACAATGTGATACTGGTAGATAGTCTTACACAATGTGGACAGCTCCATTTTCCCTCTGGAGGTTCCTCTAGCTCGGGATCAAAACAAACCAGGTGATAAGCTCGAGGACAGGTGTCACACAGGATTATCTCCCCTCCCTGCTGACACACCTCACAGTAGTCCTGATGTTCAGTCTGAAAAAAGCATTTACATCATCAAATGATGGTAACATATGAAAGCAAATGTCTAGCAATATTGTAGGTGTTATACATGTTATATGGCTTTAATTCTTTAGAAGATATAAGGTACCTGCAGTATGTAAAGCACTATTGAAGAAATCAATTCTGGGCTAATAAGCCTTCAAGAAACATTGCTCAACAAATTTCATTTAAAAAACATACAATTGTTAATGTACAGAAAATTACCTTTTAAAAATATAAAATACACCATAACCTTTTTGACACTAATTTTTAACAGATATAAACTGTAAGTTAAACCCACCTCATATCCGTCAGCATCAGGATCTGTGGGGTACTTGTTGGTGAGTTTGGTCTTCTTCTTTCCGCGCCCTCTTCCTTTCTTTGTCTTGGACTTCTTCTTTGGTGCCGCCTCGGCCGCCGCCTTCTCCTCCTCCTCTAGAATCGAGGCCTCCTCCAACTGACGCTCGAACTCTTCATCACTCGTGTCATACCCCACACCATCATCATCCTAAAGGTAACAAATGGTCACCTTAATTATCATCTTGTTACAATTCACAGACAGACCCTGCCTTCCAAATATGAAAATTTTACTTAATTTATGGAAAATTTTAATGATTTTTCATTTACTGTATAAACATCTTATAATGTTACTGGAAATTCTGCATTCTAATTAACACTTTTTTTTTATCAATTTTATTGTATTATCATCTCATAAACAAGAGATAAATTTTTAAATTTTAATCTTGATGGCGGGTACAGTTTTCTTGGACTTTTTCTTCTTCTTCTTACTGGTTTCCTCTGGTACAGGGTCACTGTGGGGCTCTGTGTCTTCATCTGTTAAAAAAAAAAAGCATCATAAAGTTCAAGATATCATACACAAACCCTCTAAAGAAATCAGCATAATTTTTTTTAACACAAAATTACATATTCATAATTTTTTTTTACTTCATATAAATTAAAAAATATTCATACTGTCTGAAATATAGTGTTGTCAAATTTAAAAACATGGCATAAACATAACCAACTGATCATCGGCCAATAATCGAATTAACCCTTTGCATAAAATAGGCACTATATTTCATATAAAATTTAGAATTTTATTTTTAAATAATGTAAATAAAGGTGCATTGTATAGATCAAAATTCTAAAAACAGTATATATGCATTTTGAATAACAATTTCAGTAGGCCTAATACAGATTTTTGCATGATTAGGAATTACTTGGCCTGGGAAACATAAGCATTGACAGATCAGGTTTTAATTTACAAGATCATCTAAAATACCGGTTTATATGTGGAATAATTTTTTAAACTGTTATGACTTAATATCACAAATCCTTGTGAATTCGTATAAAAAATAAGCTTTCATATATCTCCTAAATATCAAGGTGCGCTATGTAAAATTTCGGCGGCCATTTTGAAGTGGCGAAACCCTTGACTGTAGTTTAAGAAAGCAATTATCATTATCTTGTGATTTATTTTAAACAGATTTTAAGTACATGTAAAATAGGTTAAAGGACAACACTGGGATATATATTTTGATAACAAGAGCCTGTTTTTTAAAAATGAAAAATATAAAAGAGATATGTGCTGATACAAAATCGATTGTTTAAATCTCCATGATCAAATCAATCTTCATCGATTATAAATCGATCATAGTGACAACACTTTAAGATTTTTTATCACCTTTTTTGTTCACTATAACTCCTTTTTCTGTTACTTAAATTGAAAATCAGCTGACATTCAAGTCAAGATAATTCTTTACGGAGTATCCCCCTACCATTATCTCTGTTTTCTGTATCAGTTGCCTCCTCCTCTCTGTCAGATGTTGTTCCGTCTCGCGACGTCTCGGCTTTCTCCTTCTCTGGGGGACTTCCTGATTCCTTCTCTTTGTTGTGCTGAGCGACAACCTGGGCAAACTCTCTCCACTTAGCACCAATTAGTGTCACCATTTTTGCCATTGCAACTTTAGGATTTGCTTTTTGTATAATTGGCTGCACATGTTGTTTGAAAAGTTTATAATTGTTAAGGGTAATATAGTCCTCATCTTCAAAGGGTATATCCACATTGTTTATACCAAGTTCTTCAGCTATAAGATCAGAAGGACTCTTCTTTTCCTGGAGATAAAATTGTAAGAGATCAATTAAACAGGTGCATGAAATTCTAGCTGACTCCTCACTAAGTGTTTCAAAAATGGCAAAATTGAACTAAATCATTGCTATTCAATGGTTTAGAAAGTCAACATTTATTTAGTTCAAACTTTTTTGAGGAAAAAATAAATTGTAAAGATAAAGGAGCAATTGTCTTATTTTTGTTGTTTATAGGGATTATTAATGACCCAGAATCAAGTGATTATTCTTGCATTAGCACCTTTTCCTGCTAATGAGAATTATCATACACTAGGTGCTCTACCAGGATCCTATTCAACTCACAACCATAAAAATAGACATTTTTAATTGTTAAGAAATTCTTGTATAAACACATTTAAAGTGATAAGAAATACCTTAGGAGCACTTCCCCCTGCCTTTTCCCTCTGTCTTTTCTTCTTGGTGGGAACATATTCCTCTTCATCGTCATCAGCCACCCCAGAGCCGTAGTCCTGGAAATCATTATATCTCAGTTATATCACAACGTACACCTTAATCCATGTATCAAAGCTAAAAACTTTATTCAAATAAAATTTTACAAATTCCAAATTAAATAACAACTATCTAAGGCTATCTAAATTTAATTCCCTGGTTCTCAGGCCAATTTTCTCCAAAACAGATGCGGGAGGGCGGCATTTTATTTTTCATTTTATTGGCAATAAAGAAGGTGAGGGAGATATTTTTTTAAATTTTAATTTCCGAATTTTTTTTAACATAAAGATAATTTTTTTAATCACAGATATATTTCTGGTCAAAATTTCTGTTTATCCATTGCAACAGCTTTAAACATCGTAGGTAATGTTCTCGAATGTATTTTTAAACGAAGTAGCCAAAATCTCATTGTAAATGGCTACCGGAAGTGATATTTGAATACTTACAAAACAAATGAGGTCAAAATTTTTTATTTTATCAAAAATACAATAAAATCGGTAATGCGGCTACCTCAAAATGGATGCGCGCGGGCCTGAGAACCAAGATTTCAATTTTATATGGCCTAAGTGAATATATTGTCTTGCACTAATTCTAAATTGTCAAAAAGTTCACTATACCTATAAGCAAGTTTTCCTTGAACCCTGCTTCTCTAGTCTTGTTACAATGGACACTAGATTTTTTGACAACTCTATCACTTTTATTCACATATAGCCTTTGCATTAAACGTTTTCTTTCATTACGAAAAAATAAATTTTAGAATGCATTTTTAATATAAGAAGCATATTTCCAATGATGGATTATGAACAATAACCATCGATCATTGGAATCAGTAGCATATACCCATCCACAATGGATGTTTCTGATTATTGGTACAACACTAAGTAATAAAATTTAAAAAGTAAACCTCATCATCTTCATATCTCTTTGGTTTTTTGCTCTTCTTTTTCTTTTTCTTTTCTTCACTATCCTTCTTCTTTCTCTTCTTGCCCTTCTTTTCTGTGGCAGCTTCATCACCAAAACTTTCATCTAAAATAGTTTTTAAAAGAATCCATTTAATTATTAACTCACAATAAATCAAAAGTTATTCCAATCTTCTTCAAAGACAATGCATTTTTGTGTGTTTGTGCTATAATTCATAAAACCTAATCTCATAGCAGATTTAAAATATTTTTGTGGCTAATCTAAATTTTTTCTGACAAGCTGAAATAACTCTTACCTTTATATTTTTGTTATTTTACTTAGAAAAAAATATATATATAAAGGTGCAACACAATGTAGCAGTGCACATAAATGAATAATTTATTTTTGCAACAGCCTCAAAGCTAAACAATGTTTTACAAGTAATGCAAATTTCAATCTTAAAAATCTACTTTGCACATCTAATGTTTGAAGTTTTAAAAATACATGTACATTCATTGATTCAATGTATATTAACACCAGTAGAGAGTTGAGTAAATTTTGCCATTAATTTTTTTCCCTGTGAGAATGAAGAACCTCAGGTAAATGACATATGTCATATCCACATGACGAAGATTTAGCTGATTCAGAAAAGCAATGGCCATTTTTATACCACATGTATTAAAATGCAACTTGGAACATTGACCTGTTAGATGTGACACTGATGTATAAGACGTTCAAGAGCATGGGTTAAATTTTTATATACTGACAAGTGTCACTAGCTTTGGGGCAATTCTTAATTAGAAATGAAGTGGGACTAAAAAAAATTTACCCCCCCCCCACATTTTGCAAAGCTTTCTGTTTTCTTTTTTTTTTTTCACATTTAAGCCAACCACCACATGCACTTTTATTTCAAAATCATGGACCATATTTAACATCACTTGCAAAGCACAATACAGCAATGCCAATATGTTCACAAACACAAATCCTATCACAGTTCTTGCTAAAATTAACATATAGGTGGTTAATTGGTAAATAATTGTTTTCCCAAAAACCGTGACAAAAAGGATTATAGTTACTGTCTACCACAAGACTGGAGCAAACAAAAAGGGGAAAAGGGGGATACATTATAAATAAATGCCTCACAACACATCGACAAAGGTAGTTTTTATATGGAAGAATAAAATTTAAGAACATGCACTACCTCACATTTATTTCAGTGTAAAACCCTACATGCAATAGAACTACAAATAACAGTGCTCAAGCAGCAAGAAGTACATAGATGTTTATCTACTGTACTCACAGGACACGCCCATTCTGGTCCCTCTAACCTCTGCTGTAACAGCAGGGCGAGGAGATGGGGTGGGAGAGGAGATGGTCGAGTCATCAACTGAAAGTTGATATTCAAGGATATTTCCACATAATCAATGAAAAAATTGCCTTGTAAAATGTTCTTATTATTCTTTTCTTGTTTAACATATAAAATATTGTGTAAATACTATCGTTTTTTTAATCGTCTGAAAACATCATTGACTAATGGTAAAGTGAAAATGAAACTAGAAGTTGTAAACAACACGTGCAACACTTGTTATGCTTATAAAAACAATATTAAACATTTTTAAAAAATGCACTGTCATCTAAGTACTGACACTAAAATCGACTTCGAGATTGCAAAGAAGAAATGCATGTCATGTACATCCCGACATGCATTTATCTCGACCTCATTAATTACTTTTTAGCGCATGCGCAGTTTCCTTATAAGCTTTGATATTTAGCTTGATATTTATCCCATCGATTGTTGATTATCCACACAATGAAAAAATATTTGCCCGAAAATCTCAATAAATGTACGAAAATTATGTTTTTTCTCATATGTGCCCTCAAATGACATGTTTACGTCAGAATACACGGGAAAATCCCTTTATAAGAGTGATATTTCAGGTAACAAATATATGCAAATGACTAGAGGGAAATCCTCTACTCGTGGTTGAAATACACAACAAACACCGGTATTTTAACACAAGCAGGGCTATTAGTAACTTCTAAACGATGTTTAAGTCAAGATCTATTCAAATATCAATCTGAATATTCTAAACATATTACAGGAAAACTTGTGTCAACAAATAATTGTTAGGAGTTGCTAATTATGGAAAATTAAACAATGTCAATGATACCTTCGCCGGCCTCCTCTTCAAAATCCATGCTGTCTTCCATTTCGTCTTTACTTATCTTCCCTGCCATACTGTACAACGAATTTAGAATATCACGATGTCAAAATTGTGCATAAAATATCCGCTACTTTGTTTCTCCCAGGGGCAATGATAGCCCTGTCCCTTCCCCCTGCGTAGAGCGGCTTTTCGCCTAAATTGATCATGCGCGGCGTGACGTCATTGATTGGGTTTTTACATCCCATAATTTTTAATAAAGAATTGTAAAATATTTTCGATCTCTCTTTGTTTTTAAAACACAATTAAGTTATGTGACATTCAGTACTGTAATTTATATATAATAAATGGTTAAAATTTGAAATATTTCTATTAATCAAATTAAAAAATTAAAAACTTTTTATTTATCAATATTCACATCTACATATGTATAAAGCAAACAACTGGTAAGACTTCTGAGTGTCACACTCATCTTTCTTTGGAGAAAAGTTTGAATGCATATGACTCCTTTTCCAAAGTCTGTCAGAGAGGACGTTCTAGATATGTCTATTAGGTAATTATAAATATACCTCGTCAAAGACAACTTGATAATGTCTCGTGGGAATTTAATTAAATCATTTTCAGTTTAGGGTGCACAACCTAACAGAAATTCAATGTAATACAGATAAGAAAATACATCTTTAAAAAAAAGGAGAGAGAGAGAGAAAGAGAGAGAATGAAAGAAATTTTAAGTTGGACTATTGGTCAATTTTAGGGGACATATAGCTTCGTTTTTTTTTTCTATGGTATATTTGTTTATTCTCAGTCTCTCTCTCCATTTCTCTCTCCATTTCTCTCTCCATCCTCATTGAACAACAGTTTCTCATAAAATGTTAAAATCATGAAAACATAGAAGGTGAAAAGTAATTTATAATCTGCAAAATAAAAACAAACTTCGGTTTAAAAAAAAAAATTCTGAAAGTGTCTCAGATTTTAACTTTATAAAGGTACCGCCGCTTTATATCCTCTCCCATCAGCTAATGTACACTATAATATTTTAAAAGTTAGAATTCAAAACAAAATATATGTATTGTATATTTTTAAATATCATTCATTTTTGACTCTCTTTTCTGGCGTCGACAAAGCACTTTTTTCGAGAAACAACTTATCTTTCTATCAGTTTTAATATATTAATTTTGTAGGATTGACAATTTTTTTTCTGATGGTATTATCACTAATATATGTGTTTACATTAAATGTAGGGGGATTAAGCAACAGTTGTCGACCTGTCACACATTCCATGAGCCTTCTGTATTGAGGTAAATAAACGTAGTAGTTTGTAGTCAACATTAATACAAAAAAAACAACAAACAAACAATGCCAAACCTAACAAACATAGTTTGCCAGTGTGGAACATATCAGTCAAGTTATAAGACCCAACAAATTGGTTTTATTTGCCAACGATGTCATTATATAATTGAGAAATGTTCAAAGGAGATTGCTTGTAAGTCTTGTAACATCTACTTATTTGTCTTTAACATGTCTGGATACAACTGACTCTTGCGTCCTAACTCATGGATACCATATATGCTTAGAAACATAAATATTATATACAGCACGTGATATTAGAATGATACGACTGTACATGTACATTAATAAGGGAAATTCTATTGGCGACAGAAAGGTGAAGTCATATAGTTTATTTATATATATTACATTAATTATTTACGTCTATAGTCAACAAACCTTCAATTATTTAAACAGATATGGCGGTGTTCTTTATTTCAAATTAACCTGGAATTGTCGATATTCAGATAAAAACAACTATTCTTAATAGCACAATATCAAGTTTCTCCCTTCTATATATAGTGTTGACATTTTTAATAAATTCAATTTCTGCTTTCTACAAGAATTGTTTTGAACAAATATTCAACTGTCTTTGAATCTTACAAATTTATATGATTGATTGTTTGTTGTTGAACGCCCCTCGTGAATTTTTCACTCATATGGAGACACCACCACCACTTGCCGATGGAGAGCTGAAAATTTTGTCTTATATATATACTCGTCACTGAGGGCCATTGAGCAGGAAGGGGTTCTTTTTCGTGCCAGCACCTACCGCGACACGGGATCTCGGTTTATACGGTCTCATCCGAAGGACCGGTATCCACGTCCCACATTGGGATTCGAACCCGCGATGTAAGGATCATCTTCTTACTTCGCGACTTTAGAGTAGACGCTCTAATCACTGCGCCGCGCGGGCGACTTTAAAAATATGTTATAGGGCAAAAGTTCTTTAAAAAACAAACTTAGTAGGTCCTTTCTTTGCATGTAAATTATATCAAACTTATTTACACGTTTACAATGATATAGGTTTTATTTGCTAACAAAACCATTATAACGACCATGATAGAATTTGGGAAATACCGGTGTTAAACGGTTGTTGAAATCACTGTATCATCAACTTATCTGTCAGTAGTCTGCCGAAAAAAAGATCTGATTTTCATTATTATTGGTACCATTGAAATTCCCCATAGACACAATAAACCTTATGAAAGTCAAGCATGGCTGTAGGAACCAGGGTGCCAGCTGGGACTACACCTTACATTTTGGCAAAATTTACATGTATTAATATACCACAGAAAATTTAAGCTATTTTATGGATGTTCCTGGACTCCATTTACCAGGGACCTATACATAGATGTCCCTGGACAATTTAAGGAATTTTTTGCTTTGAAGCCAACTGATTTCTTTTCTGGTTGTCATTCCCTAACTAAAATTGCGTTTAGAACAAGAAAATAAATATTCCTAATCAATAATGCTAATTGTAAAGTTTATGAGGATCGGGTGTTTTTTTTTTCTTTGGGAAATCCTGACTCAACAGTTGCCGTTTGTGTTTCAGGACCCCTGGCTTTCGAGGATGGGGAAATTTTGCTTGGAACATTGTCGTTTTTCTGAACATTACTATTGTTTTCTTTTTCAGTTTTCTCTCTTTTGTTTTGATGTTTGTAATCTGGCTATAGTTGAGTTTGTTTTTTTTTAAAATTATAGCGAGCGCAGCAAGCGTCGCGAAGCGACGCTCGCGAAGCGAGCTCAATAGACTAACGTGTAAGAACAGAGGAAATATTGAAATCTGTTACGTTTTCTCTGTGCAACATTCCCAGTTCCTGCACTTAACCTTTGCGCGAATAAATAAATAAATAAATAATAACGTAAAGCATGAAAGGCTATCAGTTTGTAGATATTTTTCAAATAAACAAAAAATAACTCTGCAATGTTTTTCGACCAAAATTGCACTAGGTCTAGAGTTTCAACCAGACGCTCGGCTGTCTCCGTAAGCTCCGTGACGTCGCGTGACGTCACAGGTAGTCGAGACGTCTCGTGCGGCTTGATGTTTGAAGTGGCTGATAAATTTTTCAAGTTTTTTCGATGGTACAACTGCGCTCGCCCCAACGGTCACACCGTAAAACATATTAGGTTTTATTGTTGTTTTATTTTTCTTGATACCTGAGGACCTCATTCATTTCTGTCGGGTTCAATGTTCAACAAAAGCTGTAAAGTCCCGTACTTCCGGTACTTCCAACTTCGTCACTTGCCGGTTGTGCACGTCTCCAGTTTTCACTTACACGTCAGTCATGGCTAGCAAGAAAGAAAAGGCCCAGAAATCATTAACCAAAGAAGAAGAACTACTTCTCCAGGATTTCAGTCGTAATGTGTCTACGAAATCATCTGCTCTATTCTATGGCAATGCTCTGATCGTCTCAGCTATACCCATATGTAAGTATGCCACGTCGGCATATAAGATGTGAACATTTATAATCAGAAATGTCATTACCTTCGATTTTCAATTAAAAGAACACATGCAGTGAGCAGGTTAGGATGTTAGAGGAGCCCCCCTTTGACAATCTCAATTTATTTGGTTTCATTAACTTGTCAACAGTGATTAATCTGGAAAGGGGGGGGGGGGTAATTTATATCAGTACATTTGCTTTTAGACCTTCAATATGGAAAATCAATTTTAAAGAATATTTTTCTGCTTATAAATTAAGTGATTATTTTATCAATCTGAGATTATACTTTCAAATCCATATAGTTTATGGCAGAATATGAATTTACTAGCTGCAGTTCATCTGTCGCTTGCTGGCACAGGCGCTTGTTTCATACAGTACATTAGTTTTCTACTATATAATATAGTAGAAAGCTAACATACTTTATGAAACAAGCGCCTGTGCTTGCTGGTCTGAAAAAAAAATTGGGATGGATGACCAGAGAGCTACAGTGCCCTGCATTGAAATCCTATCTATTGCACACAAAAAAAGTGTGCTTCTCTATATTTATTTCTCCGTACTTTTCAAACTGCCAGTGCCATCTCATAATATTACTAACCATGTGTTCCTAATCCTAACATACTGTTTTCCTATTTCCACTTCAAAATATTCCTTATAACCATTGTTTACAGCCTCCTGGACCTAGAATTGAAATGTTGAAAATTTCACCTCTTTATACTGCCATTTTGGGTGGCAAGATAATTCAGTCAAACAGGCTTTGTGCAGATGTCAAATATGAAATTATTTACAGATGTCTAACAAGCAGTAATCTATGTTTGAATATTTTATCTTTTTTTAAAAAAGAATACAGTAAGGCTAAACTCACTTTTCAGAACATCAGAGATTTGATAAAATTGTTAAATGTTTATCTGTTAACTTTACAAAGTAACATTTGACTTTTAAAACACCCCCCTCCCAGCCACTCAATTACAACGTGCAAGACTGTCCAAAACAACATTAACAGCTTAATTTCTACGATACAGTAGGTTGATCAATATCGAGATGTGGGCGAAGGAATTATTCTTTACCATTTTTAAATGCCTGTTTTTCAGATGATTAGGTCGAATTTTCTCTACCTTAGCGCATTGTAGTAACCCTTGGACTTCCGGTCCAAGCACTATCATTTATGAATATAATATGTAAGACCCCGTTGAGACGTAATGTAGTGTATTTTTGCATCATCAACTCTCCATCACCTTTACTTTGAGATTTTCCAGCTAGAGCAATGAAAATGCGAACTTAAGCCATTTTCAAGAAGCTTTAGCATTGTTACGGGAAACGAAAGGAGATTTTATTTTTTGAAATATTGCTGCATTACTTAGGATGAACAGTAAAAACCCTTAAAACTCCATAATATTGCCAACTGTTTTGTGAAACATGCAATTTTTGATTTCTGTTATGTAGACTCAAACTTGACTTCCGGTTATGGTATGGAAATCGTTCAACCGTTAAATTACCGATATTTACCAATTTGAAGATATTCATGATTTTAAGATTTAAAATTTTTTACTTTACATAATTATTTCACCCTAAAGTAGGGTTTTGCGTTTCTTTTGCGTGTCAGTATATTTACAGATCTCTAAGGAATATTTTGAATTAATTTTTTTTTTGTCTGAGGCAGTATGGATATTTATTCAGTTACTACTGAATCATCACAGTGAATTGAGTTTAAGATTGTTTATTTTACAGGGCTGTTTTGGAGGATACACCAGATGGACCTATATCAGTCTGGGATTCTCTTTGCTGTAGGAACACTTGTCAGTACTTACCTTGTGGCCTATGCTTACAAGAATGTCAAATTTGTCCTCAAGCACAAGTAAGTACATTTTGGTCCAATTTTCACACCTGTTATTTAATCTTCAGTAGTATATAAAATTTATAAATTCAATGATTGATTGTTATCTTTTCAATATGAACTATTATGTTCTTTTAAGTTCACCTGAGCCAGAGGCTCAAGTGAGCCTTCTGATCAAAGTTTGTTGGTTGTCTGTCATCATCTTTGTAAACAATTTTATCTTTAACTCCAGAACCACTGTTCCAATTTCAACCAAACTTGGCATATATTCTTGATTGAAACCAAGGGGAATTAATGTTTTTAGACGGAGGCTTAGCCTCCGCTCTATTGGTACCGCTCAGCTGCGGCGGAAGGGAATTTGCGATCGCCATCTAGCGGCTAATCACGTTAACTTTGATTAGCTTGGTCCTCCGGCTCATCCTTTCCAAGGCAGGAGTACATGAAGCAAAACAGGGACAGGGAACCAGGCTAAACTTTGATAAACTGGCCTGCCTGTATATTCGGATATGTGCTGTATCAGACAGGTGATCAGTAATGTTTGAGTCCGCTGCTGACACGCTCATTGGCTGATAAAAACTCTCGCTGACATAGAATTTAAATTGTCGGGGAAACCAAAACAGATCACCGAGTGCAGTTCTCTGCATCTGCTTTTGATGCAATTAATCTAATTCGGTCACAATATTTTCCACATACAATACATAATTCTTTTTTTTCTCATGGACCTATAATTATCTCACATCTTTCACCTCACCTGGGGGATTTTAATTAGTTTGCGAAGGTCCTATCAATTAATACCCTACATTACCTAGATAGAAGAAATCTGCATCATTGTTTCATTGAAACTGACATATTTTAAATGTTCACTCACTGACTCAGCAGAGAGCTGCGGCTTGTCTGTTTATAGCTCTGCTGCATCTATTTTTAAATTCCTTATCACATGTTTCAGAAGTTAGATGGGACAAACTGACCCACATGTTTCTATGTTTACATGACCAAAACCAAAACAGTGGCTTGAATCTTACTTTGTGGTGTAAATTTAGTAATATTATGGCTAACCTGTGCAAAAAAGGATGCAATAAAACACTTGTTATGGAATCTGCAATAGTGACTTAAAGTATGCCCACAAAATATATATGCAAGGAGTTGAATTTATTAGATTTCCCAAACCTTGGAGAGATATTGAAAAAGTGTCAAGGATGGGTGAATGCTTGTAAACGGTTCATTGGCTGCTAAGGGAGATAGGGGGTAGGGAATTTGAAGCCCACTTTATTTTCTGTCTAGTGGAGAGAGAGAGATTTTGTTTTCCGAGAATAAATAAAAATACATATATTTGTACGTCTAACTTATGTATTGAATAGATAGATTCTCACACATTAATTTTCTTCCACTCACTTTTCTTTCAAATGATATGATTAAAACGGTTCTATATTATATGAACCATTTTAATCAAATCATTTGAAGGAACTAACATGCAACTCTTTGTTTTAAACCCAACCTGCATCCACCACGGATTTTTTTTTTCAAACTCCAAAAGAAAATTCTTTGTACTCTTTGGAAATGCTGCAAATCCATTCAATTTTAATTAAGGCTTCAGCAGTTTTTTTTTATTTTTTCTTTAAATTCGGACTGGGGAACCAAAGAAATAAATGGAGGTAAACAGATATTATTTACCGAAACCTAAGATCTTCCATACGTGTGTGTGAATCTTTGCTTGAGAGTGTGTAGGGGGGGGGGGGGTTTATATGGACAAAAAATCCTGATACCCCTCTTTCAAGAGTGGCTGGATCCGCCTCTGAAACGGGAAGGATTTTCAACGAAAATGGGTATTATCCGTAAAATCGCATATAATACTGGATATTAGTGATCGTTAATCCACAATATCTAGTCAAGGCGGTGTAATCACTTTATAAAACTTGAACAATGGGATGGCATATTTTGCGGAATCAACTTTCACCTAGATGCAAATGTTTCTAAAGGTATCACCAGTCAAGTAAGAATTTGGAAGTCAGGATTAATGCGCACTGGACAACAAATACCTGTAGAGCTTTGTACATTATCTTAATACACTGCACCCAAACAGGCGTTTGTTCTTTGATATTTTATAATGTTGGAAATATTTGGATCTCTTTATGTTCATACCTAACACAACAGACTATTAATTAAAAGTTGAATGTGCATGTAGATCTATGCATTGTTATATCTGAATGCTTGTATCTCAGCTCCTTTTAGTCCTGAAGAGTTAGAGATACTAAAGTACTTTTTGGCTTTCTCACATTTCAGGAAGCTCTTACCACGAGTCACTAAAGAATTGAAATTGATATAGTTTATTGCAATTAGATTGGTTTGTCCTTTTGATGAAAAATAGGAATTCAGTAAATTACATAATTAAACATTAGACCACGGTAACATAAATGAAGAAGATGTGTTTGTGAAACACTGGTCCCCCCCCCCCCCTCCCCCCATATATCCCTTACCATTCAAAAGTCATGGCCAAGGTTAAAGTTTTTTCATAAGTATAGAATATCGAAGGTCAAGGTCAAAAGGTCAAGTTTGTTAATATCCAATGAAAAGTCTTTCCATAAAAAAAAAATATATGAAGTATTAATGTCCTGGTATCTACTTTTCATATATGGCCAACTACCCTTAGGCAAATGTTGGGGTCAGAATATGAATAAAAAATTCCCAAAGAGACAAACAATCATGTTCATTCCAAGCCTCCGTCTATCAGTACTTTCAGTACTTTGATTTTTTAATGTAATTAAGATCATTACCTCTTTCAAAGTGAGATACTATAGCCCTACTTTTTCTGCATAGTATTTATAAATGCTATGTATGCATAGAAACTTGCTGTTTTGAATTTTATGCCCTCCAATAATAAACTCAAAACAAGCAAGTTTATTGGTATGTAGAGACACTTTTATAGGTAAGGAGGTGGGCAGATTGGTTAAAAATTATTTCTGTAATTAGAAGTGAGATAGTTGATTGACCAATACTTGAAAGTGGAGAAATTCACCCCAACCATGTGCAGAAAATCTTGCACCATGAATTGCATGATATTTGCATTACAGGGTCTGTAGCATTATGGTCCAAGACTAAAAATTCTACAGTTCTTGCACCTAGTATTAACATTGAATCATCTTAGTGTTAGGTGGGTGTTGTGATCCATGATCTTTTTTGTTTGAATTGTTACAATTTTTAAAAAGATCTCTTGAATTGACTAGGGTATTATTTAAAAGAGGAATATTACTCTTGGAATAAAGTGTTTATTTAAAATTGGTTAAATAAAATATTACTATATTTACCTGTGTTCAAAACCAATATTAATTTGGTTATTTACAGAATTGCTCTCAAAAGAGAAGAGGCAGTTACTAGAGAGATGACCAAAAAGTTTGCTGATGACAAGAAAATGACAAGAAAGGAGAGAGATGAAAGGTAGGGGAAAATTGGATAAATATTATAGTAAAACATCATTATCTAAAACTCAGTTGGACTGAGAAAATACTATGAAATGTTTGAGGATTCGAGATATCAAGGGGTAAAATACTTAAAGAATGAATAGTTGAGACTTCAATACCACCAAGGGCAAGACCTTCAAGGTGCGTCACTTTCAAGTTTGTCTTGGAGCCATCTAATGGTATAACTATTGGAGACAAGTGTCAGTCTTCGCGAAAAAGAAAAATCCTCACAGGACATTTGGACAGAAGACAAAAACAATTTCACAGGACCAAACAAGTTTTCACCGGTCCAAAACTTTGATCATATAATGATCTGATCATCATAACGATGTTTCTTTAGATCATATGAATCAATAAACAAATAACACATTAAAACATAACTGAAATGTTTCTTTTTTCTTTCCTGGTACTGTCCTATCGAACTATTTCAGAAACATTGTGGCGGAAGTACGTTTTAAAACAATCACGATCGACAAAATGTTTTAAATAATGTGTTTTGGTATTAGTTAAAGCGTCTATATGATGATATAGAAAATATAAAATTTAAAACACAACCAAAACAAACCTCGGACAATTGGACTGATTTTACTAGCTAGTGCATCAGACCAATAAGATTTTCACCTGTTTTGTCCGACGGACCGGTGCTTTTGGGATTCTCTGAAGTGTTTGCAATACCAAAGTTCAACTGTATTTCTTTACAAATAAATTAAAACCATAGATTTATTGCTTTATATTACATAGTCCTTATGATTTCTAGGGAGACAGGACTGGGGTTGAAGTTGGTATACATGATATTTAAAAGATTCGTCATTGTTAACTCTTATTTTAACAGGATCCTGTGGAAGAAGAACGAGGTTGCGGACTATGAGGCCACCACTTTCTCCATCTTCTACAACAACGCCTTCTACCTGGTTCTCCTCATCCTCTGCTCCTTCTACGTCCTCAAGAACTTCGGACCCATGTTGTATCCTTTGTAGTCAATATCTTAATACACTACATATTTAAAAACAGATTTATATCTTAAAAAGTATTATATTGGAAACCTTATCCATTCATTCATGTGATGATCAGATGTTAGCTTTGAATTTTGAATTCTCTTTGAAGGGGGATTTGCATAACATGTGTAATTTGAAAGTAAGGGTCAAAGTGCAGAAACGGGAAAGGGTGTTTTGGGAAATCAGGTAAGCAATACAGGAACACTAAGGATTAAGAATTTCCTTTAGAATCTAAACCTGGAAAACAGTTTTATTTTGTATTTTTAACGAATTTCTAATTTATATTTGGAGTCATTCAACGTTCATTTCTTGATGACATAGTCAACACAACTGTCTTGGAAATGTGTCCAGAGAAATTCAGTCTCCAAGTAAAATTTGACACTTGTTATACACCATATGTTATTTAAACTTTGACACACCAGTGGCAAAGGAATGAAGAGAAGTCATATAAAAATCATAAAATATAAACAAAAACCACATAAAGCATATTGTAAACTGCGAACTCTTAAATATACATATATTTTTTTTTTATGAACAAACTGAAAGATGTGCTATGAACAGAGTTGTTCTATGAACAGTGTGTTGTCCTATAAACAGCTTTGTCCTTAATTAAATTCAGTAACTACCTGATGTCTGTTGGGCTGGCTGCTGGTCTTCTAGCTCTGTTCTCCACAAGTAACAAATGAATTACCGCCCAATTACAAGAGCAGCAGATCGTCTTAGCAGGGGAAAAGAGAGCAGAATACCTGACTAATAAAAGCAGAGAAAATCACAAAGACACCATTATCTACTTCTTTAAGAAATATCAGATATCAATTTTGAAGAATTTTTGTATATTTTTTAAAGACTTCTTAAAATTGTGTTATAAAACTTTTGGTATAAAGCCAAAGAGAAGAAAATTATGCATTTCAATGTAGAATTAAATTAATGTTATATTTTTACTGATTGCCTTTTGAGTTTTGAATTGGTGAGGTATGATTTCAAGGCCGTAACTAGGCTCAAATTTTTAGTGAGGCAAGGGTGCTGGGCATTCCTAGTCTCAGACGGGGCAAGGGTAGTACCTGATGGCCAGTGATGAGGGTTTCCAGGGGGAGGGGGGTCTGAAACATGGGTAATAGAAAATAAAAGATTTACTCTTAAATTAAAAAGTTTTTACCTTTTGAGTTGTCGACAGCATGGCACAAAGTTTAGAGCGTATGCTCTAGAGTCGCAGACTGAGTTGATCCTTACGTAGCGGGTTCGGATCCCACTGCGGGATGTAGAGACCGGTCCCCCGAATGAGACCTTAAAAACTGAGGTCCTATGTCACAGTAAGTGATGACACAAAAAGATCTCTCAATGTTAAAACATCTTTAGTGACCCTGAAAACCTAGCCTTATTTAAAACTTGCAGCCCTCCACCAAGTAGTGGTGTCTCAATATGAATGAGAAATCCTTAGAAGGGATGTTAAACAATCAAACAATTTACAAAACAAACATTTTTTTAATTATATTTTACATGTTTTGTAGATGAAAATGAGGTACCTAGTGACATGAAGAATTTAAAGAAATTGAAACAAAAGTTGAAAATATAAATAATTTAGCATGAAGACAAACATAATTCATAAGTTCAATGTGAAAAGTTTTCACTTTTCAGAGCTCTCATAAAAGAGCAAGAGTCACGTTGGACCTTATTTGGCCCTGAGAATTTCCGAAAAATTAAAACTGCTCAGTTTAGGTTGCAAATGCAGCATTTATCATTTGGAGTGTTGGTGACCACGTATCAATCAATTGTGACTTAATTTTCCATCTAGTCAATACATTATGACGTCATAAAATGTGTCATTTTCCTCATATCGTGTAAATTCCTTTGAAAATGGCCTAAGTTGAGGAATTTTTCAATATTTCATATACAGCACAACCTCTGATCCAAAATATGCAAATACATAATGAAAGCTCTGTTTCTGAAGATAAAAAAAAAAACATGTTTTATTTTTTGGATCGTGGGCTGTGCTCATATTTTAATTCTTTGCCGAAGGTAGTCAAATACACATGTTTTCTGCAAATTTCAAGAACATTGCAATTTCTCAAACCTGTTTTCCAATATCTGAATTCTCAAAACAAAATTTTATGATAGAAAATGAAAGCACCAAGTGTCCACTTTATTTTGACATATACATGTAAAATGGGAAAGAGGGTGATAATTAATTATTTGATATAAGTACAGGGCCAATTTATGCATAAGATGGCTCTTGCTCTTTAGTGAGGCATTTGCCTCACTGGCCTCAATGGTAGTTACGGCCTTGGATTTTAATGTGTGCCTTGTTAAATGATACAGAGATGCTGGTCCTTATATGCCCGAGTCAAAATAAACAACCTTGTCTCATTCAGAGAATTTATTAAGTACATGTATCTTGAGTTGTAATCAGTAGAAACCAGAAATTAAATCATGATTCTTTGTGACAATGATTTACTCTAATTTTAAAATAACAATAACCAAGCTTTTTGTATGCGCAGATTGAAATAACAAAAAAAAAAAAAATCAACATTCTGTTTCGTTGGATTCTGAAGACGCCTTTTGGAACTTCTTCACAATAGCAAACTTCTGAGATAAACATGGCAAGTATTTACGAAATTTCTTGGACATCAAACAATACAGAAACAAAATGCACGGGAATGATATGTAGATTATAATGTTAAAAATGACGCCTAGTTCTCCCAGCATCACTTCCGACACGTACATTTTGTCGTGAACCATGGAGAGAGTCCATAGTATAAGTATAATTGTTATTGGAATCTCCACCAAAGAAAAGATGGCGGCTACAGCAATCACAATCCACGTGACACGCCGACTCTCTTTGGTTGTCTGGTTGTCGGAGAGAAAACGCTGTCGTTTATGATCGGCACGAAGGAGCTGTCTAGCCATGAGAAAATCTAAGGTCACCACGATGGATAGAGGAAGGACCTTGACTAGTACGATACAATTCCAGTAGTAGATACATTCATACACGACTTCGTATCCTTTGAGCCAGTCGGTATGCACAGCCTTACAAGTGAAAATGTCTTTGGTTCCCCACACAACATGAAAATCAACATAGGTCGTGTCCAGAAACCGACATAAATGAAGTAGTGAAGAACAACAGTATACCACTATAACACACAATACGCTTCTCTTTCTTGTCGAGATTTGTCTGATGTAGAAAGGATAACGCACACCAATGAAGCGATGGAAACTGAGTAAAACGGTCAGCCATATTGAAGACGTATGAGTTATTTCAGGAATATACTTGGCTAAATAATCCCACAATCGACAGTAATGGTTAGGGATGAATGGAGAGACGTCCGAAAAATATAAAGCCAGCAAGAAAGGAGATGGCAAGATAACGTGTAAAGTATCAGAAATGCCAATAGCTATCATCAGAATGTTTATTGAGGAAAACATTTTCTCCTTGACGAACACGGTAATCATTAGAGTGTTCGAAAAGAGTGTCAGAAGCGCCAGGACTGGCAAAAGGTAGACGTAAAATGGTATTGTTAGATCCGCCTCTACCCAGGCCCAGGGGTGTAAAACAAAGGAATCAAATTCCTCATCCAAGTCCAGGATTTTGTCCCAAACATCAAAAGTGCTATTAATGGAATCGTCTTGGTTAACTGTCCATCGACGTATGTTAAAATTTGCTACATAGGGACCAGGTTCATCCATTTTAATGTGAAATCTGTCCGCTTTGTGAACCGTCAGCACCAGTTATGATGATAATTTACAAAGTGCCACCACTTTCGTCATTGCCAGGGGGCTGAAACAAATTTTATTGATGAGAATCAATTAAATATTAACATCAGGAATGACCACTTCATTTGTAACAGTATATTAATATACAGTGCATTGATTAAACGTTATTAGGTACTATAGTACTCACAAATGTAATTAATTTCTATTTTCATGTTACTAATCTTGTTCAGTTTCTCAAGTTTGTTAACAAACATAATTTGTAACCACAATTAACATGATTAAGCCATCATAGCACAGTGATACCCACATGCACGTTTGTGTTTTCTCTTCTAAAAATATTCCGCGTCATCTTCATCTTTGTGTAACAATTTTGGAAGCCACAGTAATTCTATATTCTATAATTTTGAAAAAGGTCCACTGTCAGTCCTCAATCACCCCTGGGATGAAAATTGAAATTCCGAAATAAATGCTCATTTACAAGTCTTGTTCCAAAATGTGAGTAGGCTAGTGCTATGAAAAATGCAAAACAAGTTCAGGCATACAGGGCTTGTAAAAAGGTTTGTGAACCCCGACTGGTCCCATGGCGAAACTTAAAATGACGCGGAGTCAAGGTAACTGTTTTTGCAGAAAAACGTTTTTTCTGAGACCCCCTCCAACGATCATCCCCTAAGGTGTTAATCTAAATTCTGATACCGTATTTCACATTTTCCAAACACTCGAATATTACATGAATATTACATGAAGTTTAAATTATAAATGGACTACTTCAAAAGATGTAAGAAAAGTTCCAGGAATCAGTTTTTTGTAGTAAAACTACGCTTTTTGGTCCCGCTCCCAAATCACCCCTAGCGTAAAAACTGAATTTCCAAATCCTAGCCATTGCATATCGACAGGACACTCCTAATCATTTTCCAGAATATGAATGGGCTACTACGATAATCGTGAGAGGAGCTTAAGGAACAAGGTTTTTGAGGCAATAAAATATGTTTTTTGACTCTAACTAGGTGCATGTGATCATGAAAATTCCGAAACATTATTATACTAGTACATTTACAGGGCGCTCTCAATCACATTGCAAAAGATGAGTTGACTACTTAAAAAAATCAGAAAAGCAAAGAATCCAAATTTGTTGGAAAAATGTCATCTTGACCCCCAATCGTCCCCAGGGTAAAAATCGAATTTCTGCGAAAAATTAAGTTCAGGGAACAATGTTTTCTTGAGATTATTTTGGCCCCATTTGGCACCGTACAGGTGAAAGGAAAATTTCAAAATCTTTCTGCAAATGTTCAAGGCACGAACAATGATATAGCAAAAGCTGCTTAAAGTATAAACTTTTGAGGAAGAAGTGTGGCAGACGGACGGAGAGAAACTTTAGGTACAGTATATTGTAATTCTACTGGTCTTTCCGTCTGTCACACTTTTTTTCTTCCCAAAATACTCTTACATTTTTAGCACTAACCAATTCATCTTTTGAAGTATGATTGATGGTGCTTTGTGTAAAAAAATTGTAACTTCTCCTTTTCCCCAAGGGGTCAAATGGGTTTTTCAAAACATGATTTCCAAAACTCCTCCACAGCCAAATGTACAATCCTCTCCAATTCTGGAGATAGCTATAAGCGGACTCCGAACCGTGGCTTGAGACAGTGAAACTCCTCTTACATATTTAAGATTAGAACAATCATGTTTGGAATATAAATATGGGTGTGTCCCCTCCAGATTTGCAATCAGGTTTTCGAGTGTCCATTTTCAACGCTAGAGGATAAAGCGGCCGGGGTCAGAGAGTAGCGTTTTTCTACAAAGAACTCCTCTTATTTTTTTACACTGACCGAAGAGCTATTATTTGGAATTGGTGATGTCTCCCGTAGATTTGCAATAAAGTTTTAGCAGAATTTCAATTTTACCATGAGAGTGATTGGGGGAATTGGGGAAAAAATTGATTCCTTATAAATTGCAATGAAATTTTATATATAGCAACTCCCTGTGGCCTAAGGATAAAGCCTATTGATTTTGAGGTCAAAAGGTCAAAGGTAATGAATTCTGTCTGTTTTAACACTTTTGTTTTCGCGCGATATTTCGAGAAGTCTTTGAGCTTCTGCAGTTAAATTTTACATCACACCTTACTTTGGCTTATGGGACCCCTATTTTTAATTTTAAATGCCAAAGGTCGATTAAGTTTATAGCGTGTCATATTATTTTGATAAATTTAATCTGATTCTACACAAGTATTCATACCTGTTCTGATATTTTCGTGAATTTGAGCAGAATATTTATTTTGAAAAACCTACATAATAAGAAAAGGTTCCTGTTGTGCAGTATGAAACATGTATTAGACTCAGTGGTGTCCTCCAAAGGAATGCATCAAATCAACGTAGGAATAAATTTTGTCAACTGATAGTGATAAAACGTCATCCATTAACTATAAATGACGAATTAAAGACACAGCCAGGGTTATTTGATAGGGAAAACGTAACATTTTACTTTTTAAAATGTGATAAAAGCATTGATTTCTGAATGATTCATACCCATGCAGATACAGAGCTTCTACCGAGAAGATACAATATACCGGTATCACCTTCTCGCTAAAACTAGAAAAAATGTGCGGACACTAATTTAAAAACGTACTCACCTTTCTTTCAAAGAAAAAAGCATGTAAACCAATTAAGCGTTCTGTAGAAACCAACAAATGTTCAGTAAAAAACAAGCGTGTTTCCCAAGGAACAAATAACATCGACCTGTTACAGGAATGTGTAGCCACTTCATTCTAACGTGCTTGAAATATGAAACATGACATTTGCTGGAACCATTATAGAGCTTTTCTCCTTATCCTATGGTTATTGTTTGATCTATAGTAAAGGATTCATTCGAGTTCGGATCCTGTTGAAGAGTCGGCGCTATCTGACAAAGAATACTTTGTTATATAGACATATGTCTTTTTTATGGCTGTCCGAGTCTATTGCTATGGTAATGTATGGATTCTGATGACATCCGTCTTCGTGCGTCGTCCGTAAGATTTAAAACAATTTTAGATGTTTTCTCTGAAATGGATTACTTTATATCTACAAATTTCTTGGGTATCGTCTGTGGATAATAAGGGAAAATATGTATATGAATTTCAAATGCACCTTCGATCTTAAAGCCGAGGTTGACACCTTTCATCTAATATTTTCTTTGAAGATCTAGCACCTACACTGTAATCTAGCACCTACACTGTAATAGCATTAAGGTTAATAAACCCTCTGCTCTCTCATATGAAATTTTTCTTTAACTTTTATGATTTTCCAAAGCAAATGTATATGCTGAATAAAATACGAAGAATTATAGCATGGCTTGCGGGGCAAAATTTGACAAAAAAGGCACTTAAACTTGACAAATTTATAAAGGAATAATAGACATTTGTGTCGTTAAGAGTTATCTCTCTTATCAGAGTATCAATGTACCTTAATAATACCCTAATAAGGGGGAAGGGACAGGGCTATCATTGCCCCTGGGAGAAACAAGCAACTTCAATTCTATTAAAATTTTTATAAAACCTTGATCAATTTTTGATATCCTTCGTGTATTACGTTAAAGAAAATATCACCGATGAGATACCCAGTGAGAGAGAACAATTTCTCGAATGAAAATAAGTTTCATTTAAATTCTGCTCAAAAACATGTACTTAAGGAACAGAGAATAGCTTTTTTAAGTAATATTGCAAACAAATAACAAAGGAGGGTCCATGAAAACACCAGTCTAAGAACAAAAATTTGGTTTGGTGCCAAACTAGAAGCTAGACCAATGTTGTGACCAGACCATGTTTTGTAGTATGACAAACAATATTGTCTTATCTATGTCTAAGAAATATAATAGCTGCATATTCTTTGGGAACAACAAGATTTGGAATGAGGACACTTACTCTAATAGTTCTCAAGAACTTTGAACCAGTCATGTTGCAAACTTAGGTACGTATGCAAGGAAAACAATTCCAAATAATAATCAACACAAAAGAAATCAGACTAATTTATTAGGATTTTAATTCAATGGAATGTTAAAAATGTACATCAATAAAAATATTAGACAAGAATACTTCACACAGTGTATATATAACAAGTAGAAGCTGGAATGTATTACATTATATTAACTTTTACAAATGGTTTAACAAATATAAAATATAACAGAGTAATAATAAGAATATAGGTATATAATATCAAATTCTATAAAACAGAAGCAGCCTATTTCATTTACACTGACCAGCGAGTATATTGCACATTCATATCTTGTAATGAAGAGTAATGGTGAAAACATTCAATGATTCACCTAAACCAATTAATAAGGCATATAACCTGGGTATTAGCACACATCTAAATTCCTATACCCTAACAATCTTACACACAGACAATTGCAGACAAAAGTTCAGGTATCCACACAAGCATAATGAAAAACTCTAGAAAAAGGAAGAGAATCAAATTGCCATATGTACTGGAATAGCTGCAGTAATGTAGCCCTCTCCTTTTTTTTGACAAGGGCAATATTATTGCAGGTACATGTAGTATTTTAATAATGGTTAATGGAATGTTGTGGTCCTGAACATATGATCATACAAATTCAGGGATGATGCCTAGTTATAAATGAACAACATGATGATGATGATGTTTAAGTAGAGCCACAGGATAGTCAAAATAGCATTAACCATACCCTTACATGCCTTATTTTGGGAGTAATCTTCACTGATTTAAAAAAAAATAAATGTTAACTTTTATAAAAGTTAGGTGTAAAAGAAAAATAGAGTTGAGCAAACACAACATACCCAGTAGAATACTAAACTGTAAATGATTTCAAAATTACTTCAACTTAATATGTATAATAAAAATCTTTGGTTGCAGTGTACCTTCAATATGAAAAAAATCATAAAAACACACATGTAATCGTGTAACAGATAACAAGAGGCCCAGGGGCCTTTACACTCACCTGACTATAATACAACAATAAATAATCCACTGGATAGATTATAAAATATTACAAAATAAAGTATTTTGGAAGTCACTTTTGCACATCATGTATATAATTTATATACTAGATGAAGATTTATGCCTTTAAACTACCATAGTGTGATGACCAATAGAACCCAATCCTTACACCTGAGCCCCTTACCCTGGGGCCAGGAATTTGTTAAATTTTGGTAGAGGACTCAATCAATGCCTATTAAAATCATGCCAACAGTTTAGCTTCAAGAATAGAGAGGATTTTTAAAGATTGCATTAATTTGGAGGGGGGGAGGGATTATTATGAAATTTATTACTTCTTTATCTTCACTTTTAGATGCTATATGGCAAAGTGGTTGAAATTGGTTCAGCTGTTCCATAAAAGAAGATGAAATTGCTGAAATTTTAACTTGACGACAGGTGAACAGATAGAATAGGTCACTTGATTGAGGTGACCAAAAAAAAAAACCCAACATAAAAATACGTTTTCTATCATAATGCTGAATTAAAATTTTTAAAATTGACTTTCATTTTCTTTTAAGTTTATAAATACAAAGTCATATAAATATAGGAATGCAATGTTTGATATTTCATGAGTTTGAACAAACTTTACAAACAAGAAATTTGAATGCCTTTGGAATTCATCCTTTCTAGGATTTGGTGCTAGCACTGCTAGGTACACATACTGCTTTGGTTTTTTTTTTTTATTTTGATGTGAATTTTACACCCTGGTTTATGGTGTAAAGTGAGTATTATCAACTTGATTGGATTGGAGCTGTAATGATTTGGTTAGATTTATTATTCTGTTTTAATAATTACATGTAATCTTTTTTTTTGGTTAAAGCTTTTAACTGTTCTTAGCTGTATTGTGTGTATAGGAAGCTAGACTGGTCTGGATTAATATGCTACAATGACTAGCGATGTGATTGTGATTCCTTGCATGACTCTGGATGATCTGTTGTGTAGTTACTGATGTGGTTAAAGCTATGATGACTAGTGATGTGATTGTGATTCCTTGCATGACTCTGGATGATCTGTTGTGTAGTTACTGATGTGGTTGTTTCTCTATGTTTGATGAAGCTGTCTCTACGTTGTTGGTTGGAACCGGCTGATCTATGTTCTCATAGTTACCCTGGCCAGGGGGGCTGCCTCCTTAAAAACATTCACAATAACATTACACGTACTTCAGTACTCACTTTTCAAAGTATGTGCATTTTATCAATGTTTTTACTTTGGAACAATAAAATTCAGATCAAAAAGGAACTTTCTACTTTCAATCTCTCTGACCTTGACCTTTACCAAATGACCTTGATTACAAATGTGGACTAAAACTGATGATGATTTAGATGACAAACAAAGAATCTTACCAAACTGTGGGAGGTTGGGGAAATTGAAGTCAGAGAATCTCCCTCCTCTATCCTGGTATATTCTCCAAAGCAGGAATGCTGTCAAGGGCTTCAGGATCAAGTTAGTGATAACCATGCTTATTACAGTCAAGGAAATTGTTAGATATAATAGTAAAAAGGTCCTTTTTCTGGTTCCAGCTTTGAAATATTTCATAAGTTTTTATAATGTACACAATACTATAGAAGCAGAAATTTTAGTGAAAATGCAAATTTGGCATTTTTAGCAAGGAAGTTGATACAATGTATTGCTGAAATTAAATGTTACTAACATTTTTATCCTCAATCATTAGATGATTGATTGTATGTTGTTTTACTTATCCCATTCAAAGATATTTCACTGACATAGAGATTTTTTTATCATTAGAAGTAACTGTTATCTTTCTGTTCACCATAAAATCCCTAAAATTACTTCTTGTTAAAATTAAATGCCGATTTTTACAGACAGATTACTAAATTTATGTATCACTAAAAAATTCTGTTTATATGATATGTCAACTTTTATTAAGCTTTACTTACATACTTTATATATATTTACTAAGTCAACTAATGATTCTAGCTTCAATATAAAGGATACCCCAAACTAAATCTGTACTCATCCTTTATACCTGAAAAGAGCAAAGACATTAATCATTACTTAAATCCAAAGAAATTTGACTACAAAAGAAACATTCATTTATGAGATGAGAAAAATTTTAACAAGAGGCCCACAGGTCTTATAGGTCACCTGAGTATCATGTAACAACTCTCCAATAATTGAATTTGGTTTGTGTTTTAAATAGTGTTGGCAACGAGTACCCGGTTAACCGGTTAACCGTCGAACGATGCGAGTATCGGTTAGTAAAACTGCTATTCGGTTACTCGGATGAAATACATTTTTCACATTTAATACGTATAAAAAAAACTCTTATATCATTTGTAAATGTATATTTGACACATTTCCCTAATTTAATTACCGTTAGGTTTTCTCTAGTGGTTCACAAATTGGAAAGATTTGTTTTGATTAGTTTAATTGATGGCTTTAATTGCCAGGTGGTACGCGTCTTGAAAACCTGAGTTATAATTACCTGATTTTAACAGACCTGTATTAGAGGTGCATACTTTCACAAAATGCCGCCGCGAACATCAAGTGCGTGGAAATATTGTTAAAGAACTCGAAATCTGTCTTGTCTTGTCAAATTCAAATTATGTGAATCGGAGTTGTCGTATAATGGTGGAACTAAAAATATGCAAAATTACTTTAGATTGAAACTTAATTCGATAACCAGCGACTTGCAGGAGACTCAACAAAAACAACCAGCATTTACAGGCTATGTTAATTCTCCTCGATTGCAACATATATATTCATCATATGTTGATATAATTATTTTCATAACCAAAAACAAAGTCCCCGTTTCGAGTGACATTTAAAATCAAAATTCTTTGAAGATAATGTGTGTATGTTTTTTTTTGTTTTGGTTTTTTTTGTTTGTTTGTTTGTTTTTTGTTGCAGTTTTTTTTTTGAGTTTGTATTTGTAAATAAAGTTCATATATCTTACATTTGTTGTTTATTTATACCAATAAGTAAAAGGGTGAAATTGATAATAAATACGGAACTATAACATAAAATCTTCCGAGTAACCGGGTACTCGATCGAAAGATTAAGCGAGTAACCGGTTAATAAAAATCGTCCGATTTGCCAACACTAGTTTTAAACCAGAGGCCATGACATTCACAATTTTAAAAGAGGCACCATTGCTTATCATAACTATACACTTAACATGCTTACTTTGGTTACTTAATACGTGGCCCAGAGGTAGATCAGAGTAACAAAGAGAAAATGCATTTCCACTTTATAACCAGTTGTGCACCCTACCCCACAAGGACTACTGAGCCTGGGCCATATATTTCATAATTTTGGAAATTTTATCATAGATTTTATTTCATCATAAATGTTTGATTAATATCAAAGAGGGGGGCATGAAATTCACAACTTTTGTTTCCCTTCACCCAAAGATGCTTTATGCCAAAATTGGTTAAAACTGGTTGAGTGGTTGCAGAGAAAAAGCTGAAAATGTTCAAATGTTAACACACGACGACGGACGAAAACAGATAGCAATAGAATAACAGGTGACCTAAAAATTAGGCCTTTAATAACAAGAGGCCAACGGGCCTTATAGGTTACCTGAGCATCATGTAACAACTTTCAAACAATTGCATGAATTTGGTTCGTGTTTTAAACCATGATCCATGAAATTCACAATTTTGAAAGAGGCACCATTGCTTATCATAATTATACACTTAGCATGCTTACTCTAGTTACTTAATACCCAGAGGTAGATCAGAGAAACAAAGAGAAAATGCAATTCCACTTTATAACCAGTTGTGCACGTGGGCACCCCAAACGAACCACTGACCCTGGGGCCACTTATTTCTAAATTTTGGAAATTTTATCATAAATTTTATTTCATCATAAATGGTTAATTAATATAACAGACCAGATTTCAAAGCTTTATTTTCAGACTATATAACCCCCCAATACCCCTGACCCAGGGGGCATGAAATTAACCATTTTGCTAGATGCACCTTTTTTCGTCATAAATATAGATATATATATACTTAGATCATTGGCATAATACCCAGGAGCAAAGGAAAATATTTTCAAAGTATTAATGTATTTTCACTATATAATCAAAAGAGCCCCCCCCCCCCCTTACACCAAATAGGCAAACCCCCTGACCCAGGGGCCATAACATTCACAAATTTGGTTGAGGCACTCTTACTCATTACAATGATATACTAAGTTAGTTTATTTAATACGCAGGAGCAGAGAAGAAAATTTTCAAAGAATTAATGCATTTTCACTATATAACCAGTAGAGCCCCGTCCTAACCCCAGAACCCCAACCCTGGGGGCATAAAATTCACAATTTTAAAAGAGGCATTCTTGCTCATCATAACTATATACTTAGTTAGTTTATTTAATACCCAGGAGCAGAGAAGATTTTCAAAGATTTAATGTATATTCACTATATAATCAATAGAGTCCTGCCCTAACACCAGAACCCCTGACCATGGGGCCATAAAATTCACAATTTCGGAAGAGGCACTCTTACTCATTATAATGATATACTAAGTTAGTTTATTTAATACCCAGGAGCAGAGAAGAAAATTTTCAAATAATTAATGCATTTTCACTATATAACCAGTAGAGCCCCGCCCTAACCCCAGAACCCCGACCCTGGGGGCATAAAATTCACAATTTTAAAAGAGGCACTCTTGCTCATTATAACTATGTACTAATAGTTACTTTATTTAATACCCAGGAGCAGAGAAGAAGATTTTCAAAGAAAATATGCATTTTCACTATATAATCTATATAACCCTGCCCAAGCACTAGAACCCCTGAGCCTGGGGCCATGAATTTCACAATTTTGGTTGAGGACTCAATGCTCATTACATTCATACCAACAGTTCGACTGCTTGATGTCCAGGTGTAAAGTAGAAGATTTTTAAAGATTTCATTAATTTTAATGGTTTTTGCCCCACCTCTCAGGCATCAGAGGGGCGGAGACCATAAAATTCACAAATTTTGTTCCCCTTCACCCATAGATGCTGTAAACCTAATTTGTTTGAAATTGTTTCCTTGGTTTCAGAGAAGAAGCTGAAAATGTTCAAATGTTAACACACGACGGACGACGAATGACGAAAACGGATAGCAATAGGTCACCTGAGTGACTCAGGTGACCTAAAAATGTGTTTTCTTGTGTATTGCATATTTCTTTCAGAATTTAATATAGATGGCCTATTCATATTCAAAATGACCCATTTAAATTTTGAAAGATGCACCATACTGTAGATTCCTCATTTTTCACGAGTACTTAATATCGCGAGACAGCTCTCTAACGTCAAATCGCGAGAATGATAATTTGTGAATGGACGCTTCATCAATAGAATCTACATGGATTTCAGCACAATAAAAATAAAAGCGAGTACATGTAATTTTATTTATTTAGTGATACTTCTCGCGAAATTACGCATTAATTAATTCCTCACGTATACTTAGGAATCTACAGTAGTCCTTCTTGGGCGGAGAAGTAGTTATACATGCCTTTTGAAAATACAGTAAAACTTGATGGGACCAAGATCAAAGTATCAGAGATATCTAATGTAGTAAAGGCATGTATAAAATTAATGCAGTTAAACTCCAAATACTGTAGACGTACTTTTTTCCACAGGGTCATAATTCCGTGGAATCTCAATTTCTGTTTTATCTGCGGGTAGAAAATTACGCAGACTTTGTAGATTGTCACTATATGCCTTACATTTACAGAGTTCTTGAAATCTTTTTTTCGCTGTCAGTCATTTGGACCGACTGCCATGTGAAGTTTGTCAGTCCAGACAGATTTCTATCAGTCCAAAATAAATTCAATAAAAACATGAAAAAAAAATTGTATTTAAATTTTATTATCAATAAACACGGCGTCTATATGAACACTGCATACTTCTTACCCTAGCACCGTCAAGAAACTTGTTTTAACAGTTAACCAATAGTTTGGCGCAAGTTAGAATAATCTGTGTCTCGGAACAAGTCCTCATAACAGTTATACTCGCAATGTAGGAAATATTTATAGAATTGCTCCGAAACGAATTTGAAGTATAGGAAAGGATATGCACTGGAAATAACTTCAAAATTAATTACAACAAACCTATTATTTAGGTCACGTATGTCCTTAAACCTAAATTATGATCCAAATAAAGACGATAATTCAACTAATTTTCTTAACGTTTTTTTCTCGCTTCTTACACGCCATGTTTGCATTCGGAACTCTCTGGAATCTTCGTAGTAAATGTACTGAGTTCGAGTCATTGCCGGTGTTTATTTTGTGACATAGTGAATATAAGGAACAAATTCTATTATTAAACCTGGTCCGTAGGACATTTATCATTTTAACGATAGAACATTGTCTCTAAATTTGCACTTGTATTAATCAAGAAGCCATTACAACATGCAGAACAAGAGGCCCATGGGCCACATCGCTCACCTGAGCACTAAGGGTAGGAAAAAGTAGAAATGGCTTTTTATTGTAAAATTTAAATCCAAAAGTAGTCCCATGACCAATCATGGATTTGCTATTTTTTAGAAAATGATTTTTAAAGAATTTTCCTATATATATCTATGTAAAACTTTGGTCGGCCATTTTGGCCCCACCCTACCCCTGGGGGTCATGATTTGAACAAATTTGAATCTACACTACCTGAACATGCTTCCATATAAATATGATGAATTATGGCTTTGTCATTCTTGAGAAGAAGATTTTTAAAGAATTTTCCTATATATTTCTATGTAAAACTTTGGTCGGCCATTTTGGCCCCGCCCTACCCCCGGGGGTCATGATTTGAACAAACTTGAATCTACACTACCTGAACATGCTTCCATATAAATATGATGAATTATGGCTTTGTCATTCTTGAGAAGAAGATTTTTAAAAAATTTTCCTATATACGAGGGGTGTTAGAAAAGTTCGCGGACAAGTTCTATTGTGAGCGCGCTATTTCCACGAAACCGGTTAAACTTTCCAGATAAAATCTTTACCTTTTTTCCAATGAATATACATGAATTTGGTGCTCTCCGATGATTATTGAAAAATATACAGCTTATTTATTTTGATAAAACTTGCTTCACGGAGCATGCTACATTTTGGCACGTTTACATCACAAAGAATCTTTATTAAAATTAAAAATTGCACAATTGTACCGCAAAGAGTTTTATGATATTTTACCTGCCGCTAAAGTATTCATGAAACGTCACTGGGAGAAATTTTGAACTAAATTGGAGGGTATATGACTGTTTTATAGCCGTTTATAACTGATCAACGCCTGAAAACACAGCCAAAAATCGGAACGTCATTGAGCGTCATGGAGCACTGCACTACGTAAAAATTATGTATGCAGACTGGAAAATGTCTAAAAAGAGATTAAAATGTTCAAGATGCTGCCGGGAATTTCCTACACCTACAAAAGACAAGTTTTCAAATGGTTGTAGCTTCATAAGAATGGAAGGATTAACAATTTGAATGATTAACTCCATCGATACTTCAATACCCCGTATCGCAAGGACGTTGCGATGCGCCTATATGGTTTTGCATAGTTTCCATACCTGATCGATTAACTGCATAGACTTTTTTGAAGATCTCAATAATATCCGAATCAGTACAAAAGACATTATATAGAAGAAAAATAACATATCTTGATATAGATATTCAATTTTAAAGTCGAAAAAAGATAAGAAAAATCTGAAGAAATGAAAGATTTATAGAACTGCGACAAAGCTTAACCGGTTGAAATCTGGTTGTCACGTCGCCTTACGTCAAGTGATTGCTCCGTGAATCCCATGACCTCATAGTAAATGTCGTTGTAAATTTTCAAGATTTTATTATATGGACTTGATTTTTTACATACCAATAAACAAAATATAGGAATTTATTCAGACATAGGTCATACTTCACAGTACACAATAGATTTTCCGTAATTCAATGTGTCCGCGGACTTTTCTAACGACCCTCGTATTTCTATGTAAAACTTTGGTCAGCCATTTTGGCCCCGCCCTACCTCCAGGGGTCATGATTTGAACAAACTTGAATCTACACTACCTGAACATGCTTCCATATAAATATGATGAATTATGGCTTTGTCATTCTTGAGAAGAAGATTTTTAAAGAATTTTCCTATATATTTCTATGTAAAACTTTGGTCGGCCATTTTGGCCCCGCCCTACCCCCGGGGGTCATGATTTGAACAAACTTGAATCTACACTACCTGAGCATGCTTCCATATAAATATGATGAATTATGGCTTTGTCATTCTTGAGAAGATTTTTAAAGAATTTTCCTATATATTTCTATGTAAAACTTTGGTCGGCCATTTTGGCCCCGCCCTACCCCCGGGGGTCATGATTTGAACAAACTTGAATCTACACTACCTGAGCATGCTTCCATATAAATATGATGAATTATGGCTTTGTCATTCTTGAGAAGAAGATTTTTAAAGAATTTTCCTATATATTTCTATGTAAAACTTTGGTCGGCCATTTTGGCCCCGCCCTACCCCCGGGGGTCATGATTTGAACAAACTTGAATCTACACTACCTGAGCATGCTTCCATATAAATATGATGAATTATGGCTTTGTCATTCTTGAGAAGAAGATTTTTAAAGAATTTTCCTATATATTTCTATGTAAAACTTTGGTCGGCCATTTTGGCCCCGCCCTACCCCCGAGGGTCATGATTTGAACAAACTTGAATCTACACTACCTGAGGATGTTTCCCCATAAGTTTCATCTTTCCTGGCAGGGTGGTTCTTGAGAAGAAGATTTTTAAAATATGCCACTAAATTTTCATTAATACCCAATTATCTCCCCTTGAATGAGGGCGTGGCCCTTCATTTGAACAAACTTGAATCCCCTTCACCCAAGGATACTTTGTGGCAAGTTTGGTTGAAATTGGCCCAGCGGTTCTTGAGAAGAAGTCGAAAATGTGAAAAGTTTACAGACAGACAGACAGACGGACAGACAGACGGACAGACGGACGCCGGACAAAATGCGATCAGATAAACTCACTTGAGCCTTCGGCTCAGGTGAGCTAAAAAGAGTTTGAAAGATAACGATCGATCGATAATAGGGAATTTGTACGAAATTTAGTCGGATTTTCGCAAGTTCTCTGTCAACACCGTCCGGTCATTTGGACTGACACAGAACGGAAAGTAATCGGTCCTTGGTTGTTTCAATCGGTTTTGCCGACAGGACCGAAAGATTTCAAGAACTCTGCATTTATATTACTTGGACAAATTTCCACGGAAAATTTTTGACCGTGTACATAGTGTAAATTAATCCCATGCGGAAAAAAGTAATTCTACAGTAATGTAAATGATACAACAATGAATTTCACTGCATGTTGAGAATCTCAAATTAATACATATTATTTTTGTACATGATGGAAAGAAAATGATGCTAAAACTATCTGTACTGAGAAGTTTATGCAACTCGCAATAGTATTATAAAATATTTAGTTGAAAAAAAAAGTGCTCTCTTAGATTACCGGTGAATGCCACATTTTTCAATCTATTTTTAAATACATGTACATGATTGACATTGACTGTACAATTTACAGAGGAAATGACTTCTCATGTGCTACAATATTTTAAAGGTACAAACTGTACTTGTATTTCATTCTTTTCAAGAGAGGAAATCAACTGAAGCAAAAAGCAGGGCACAATAATCATTATACAATGTACATACAGCTCAAGAAAACATTTTTCAAACAATCATTTGTACCTTGTGGATACTTGTCAACTTCTATAACTTGACTAGTCCTTGGTTGATAGATTCCCAGCAATACAATATCTTCTAATATTGTGAACAAGTGAAGGATAAGGTACTGAAAATGAAAAATAAATAAGTAAAACACACTTATAGCAAACATGCTCATAATGACCTGACACTTACAGCAAAGTTATTTCTATTTCCAATAGCTTTAAAATATGAACTTTCAGAATAAAACAAATCATATGTACATATTCATGCATTTGTCCACCTCTGGCACTTCATTATGAATTTTCCTCCTGAGTTAAAGATTCATTGATTTCATTGAAAAAACATAAAAACAGCCAGTAGATACCTACCATAAGTACAGCATCAAATGAATCGGGACTAGCTATACTCCATACCCCTAACAGTAGTACAAAGGTGTTACTCAGCCAGTAGACAGTTGGCATGAAACTACCAAACTGTGCTCCCCTGCAGAAAACAAGCTAGAACTTTACAAAATTTGAATGTATTCATTTCTATTGTATCTTTCATCAAGCTTGAACAATTTGATTTTGAACATATTCTTTTTCACTTCCTCTTTCTACATGCTTCTTCCTCTTTCTACATGCTTGAAATTTACAAGTACAAGAATGTTCAGCTAAAAACAATTTTTTTTTTTAATTGGTTTCTTAAGACAGCGAGACTATTACAACAAAAGACCCATGGGTCACAATGCTCACCTCAGTAACTTAGGCCATGCTATTCTTCACCAGATTCTGCCCCTTTTAATACCTACTGTGGTCAACCCTATCCCTCAGGGTCATGATTTGAACAATTTAGAATCTACAATACCCTAGGATGCTTCCACCTAAGTTTCAGTTTTCCTGGCCCATTGGTTCTTGAGAAGAAAATTTTTAAAGATTTTTCCTATATACTTCAATGTAAAACTTGGATTTCCCTAGTATGGACCGGTCCAACCTTTGGGGTCATGATTTTAACAATTTAGAATCTATACTACCTAAGGATGCTTCCACATAAGTTTCAGCTTTCCTGGCCCAGTGGTTCTTGAAAAGAAGATTTTTTAATGACCCACCCTATTTTTGTCTTTTCTTGATTATCTCCCCTTGGAAGGGGGATTGGCCCTTCATTTTTACAATTTAAATTTCCATTTACCCAAAAATGATTTGTATCAGGTTTGGTTAAAATTGGCCCAGTGGTTCTTGAGAGGAAGTTGAAAGTGTGAAAAGTTTACAGACAGACGCTCAGCTAGATGGATGGAGGACACTGGGTGATCAGAAAAAGCTCACTTGAGCTGAAAGCTCAGGTGAACTAAAAAATGAGTACCTTAACAATATTCTAGTTACTAAATAATTATACTGACATTGTAGTATAATGCCTTTTGTGCAAATTATCTAACTTTTCCTAGATTTCTTTTTTTTTGATTTTCTCCAAGGAGCTGACCACATAGTCATCTGCTTCATTTACAGGACACCTGATCCTCTCTCTCCCTCCACAAGGTACCTAATTCAACTCTGAAGAACCCCACTTTCATCTTTGCTCCTTCTTTAAGCTTTTATTTTATCAATTTATTTTATCAATCATCAACCCAGCTAATGTTGGAAAGTGGAGAAATTCTCCTAAGATGTGTGCAGAAAATCTTGCACTGTACATTGCACATCATTTTCACTATAGGATCTGCTTTATGGTCAAAGATTTTAAAAAATAAAACCATAACACTGCAGTTCTGCAGCTATGTAGATACTTACCATATCATCAAAATGAAATGGACACAAACAATCACCTGAAAGAACATATTAAAGATATAAAATAAGCATAATAAGATGCTCAAAGCTCAAGAAATGTTTGCCTGGTAAATTGCAAAACATACAAAAACAAAAGATGTTTGTAAAACATCCTTCCCCAAATAATTGGAATTTTTCTAATCTAAGTCCAAGGGACATAACTCTGTCAAAAATGGCTCAATCATACCCTACAATAAAACTTGACCTAGATATTCTTCTGAGAAATCTATATACCAAATTTCATTTCAACCTCTGCAAAGAAAATGAATGGAAACTGATGGTGGACCGACAGACCAACTGACCGACCAACAGACCGTTTTGACACGTTTGAAGATGGGACTTATGAATTTGGAAACACTGTAAATGTAGTAAAAGGAGAGTCCTTAATATTTGACAATGAGAAAATACATGAAGGTCGCCACTAGAACTAGGGTGCTTAGGGGAGATCCGTCCAATTCTGGACACTGGGTTATTCCGGACAAATAAAACAGTCTTTAACTTTTGTCTCATTTTTCGGTAATTCTGTATGGTTGATTATAAATAAATGTAGTAAATTCGGAGAGCTGGTGTCATTGTTGTCTTTTCTAAAAACATTATAATGATTCTAGGGTATTCTGAATGCTATAATTAAGTCAAAAGTTAGACTTTGGACTAATACCTCCTGAAATCCATTAGCCAATAATAGGTGGCAAAATTTGAACAAATTAAGGGCAATTTGACATAGAATTAAAACAAGATCTAACATAAATATTTATTTCCATTTATAATTTTAAAATATCTTATGTAGAGAGCATATGTTAAAAAAAGAAAAAATATGATGAATAATACAAAATAATATTAATTTTTTCATTAAATTTTATCAAACAATGTGTTCCGATTTCCCCCACTGATTTTTTTCTAGGTGGGGGAATTCCAGACGCTGGTTTTATGGGTAGACAGACATCTCGGCCCGTGACGGTTGACAGGTAGGCCTGAGGCCTGGAAGGGTCGGCCCAAAATTATTGACACATCGGCCCATATAAAAGACCCAAGAAACAACTAGTCCAGTGTCTGAATTATTGGTTCTTTTTAATTAATTACTCTTTCTGACGATTAAACAATTTTCTTTATAAAAATCAAATTAGGAAGGGGGAGGGCTCTATAATATCATTTCTATGCAAGTCCCTAACCCGCATCTCTCTCTCTCTCTCTCTCTCTCTCTCGTGAAAATGTGCAATATACATGCTAAGTAATGCAAAACTTAAGCATGTCTAACAAAGTGGCATGTTGTTGGAATGCATTTTCTCACAAAAAAATTTGTTCAAAGCATATATTGCTCTCTTGTCCGGATTTACCCCGCCTCTGTCTGGAATTACCCAATGTTGTTCGGACTTGCACTATTTCACCACCTGAATTCATTTTGTTATCAATAAAAGATATTTCACTGTGTTTCATGATGATACATGTATTCATTGCATTTTGTTGCCAAAAAGTGTTTCCATACTTTTTCACTTGAAATCAGAGTGTGTTGAGTGTTTATTTTCGTTTGCTGGGTGTTACATATTAAAACAGGACAAAAGTGTCCAGAATTGGATGGATCTCCCCTAATAGGGAAAATACACCAAGGTGCTCATAGAGTGTTACTGAGAAAACAGTAATGTAAGTATGCATGAATACAATTACCTTAGCATTAATGTATAATATAGAAGCAGGAAAATAAATATAAAACTAAAGCCAATGAGGAAATATGAATTATTCTTTCACAAATCATCTTTGTTTAATATCAAGTGTCTAATTTCTCTCCACTTTTTGCAAAATAAATCAAGTTTTTATGACAAGGGAAATCTTCCCCACTTACAAAGTCTAAAAGGATAGGTAAAGAAGTGTTGTAGACATGTTAATCCAAACAAAATGCTCTCAATCTTGAATTTTACTGTCCAATTGAAAAGAGATAAACAGAATGTTTTCAGACAGTGTCAACTTCCCAACTCCCTATTTAACTGAGGATGGGGAGAGGCTAGAGAAAAGTCAGAGAGAACATTATTTATCTTCATCCCAATTAATTCTTGTGCTAAGATCATTCATTACTCACTGTAGAATGTAACATTAATGCCCTCCCCCTACAAAGTATTAACAATTTCAAACTTTTATGCTGCAAGGATTTTTATGCTTGTAAATACACACAGCTTGGTATATGGACACATTCCTGGCATTAATAAAATCATAAATTAATGAGATGAAATCATATCAAGAGGATTCCTTCTATTTTTTAAATCAAATTTTGCAGTTCCGTTTAGCTAATCTTTTTGATTGCTAGGGATCTTCTTCCTTAGAAACTCCTTATTCTACATATATTGTAATTATGCAGATTGCTAGAAACTGGTTCTCAGGTGCAAGCTCTGTTGATACTTATTTACACCTCAATAACTGGAATTTTCCACCAAACTCTCATCTTGGTGTCACTGAGCAAAATTAAAACACCCAAAACAACCTGAGGTCAGATACCTCTGCACATTGCCCACTGATCTCATGGGGCATTATGGTTATGCCAATTGGTATTTTTCCCAAAGAAATACAAGATCAGGTCTGAGGAAAATGATGAAATTAGTGACCTTGATCTTTGAGAAATCAAACTCTATCTAAATTCACAACACCCTAAGGCCATAATAAATAAATTGCTAGATTCTCATCCGAATTTTTTTTAAAAATCGAGGCGGGCGGGTGGCTTTTATTTTATATTTTTTTACTTTTTCAATTTTGCAGATTTTTTATTGACCTTGTCAATCGGTGTAATTTTATCTACAATAACCAAATAAAAGTCATAGTAAAGGTTAAATTATCTCTTACTTCACGTCATCACCAATCTTCTTCAACCAATGACCCTTGTTCAAAATATATACGCATGTATTACAGCATATTACCATCTTTTCAGCTGTCAAAATCATGTCGACTTTCGCGGGATTTAAAACAAAAGTAGAATGGTAGATGAATACCGATCCCGATCAGAATTAAGACGAAGAAAAACAGAAATAAAAAAAATCAAGGCGGGCGGGGATGAGAATCTAGAAATATTTTTATTATGGCCTAATGGTAATAAACAATGAATAAATTCAAGTCAGGGGTAGACATTAACTTTTATTTCCACTTGTCCTTCGGGCAAGTGAACTACAATTTTGACTTGTCCGAATGCAAAATTTACTTGCCCAAAATTTTTGAAGAAAAAAAAAACAGTTATTGTACCTGCATGAATTTGTTGTAAATATAAAAGTTGACAAATTAATCTCAATTTTGAAGTTAACTGCCGGAAAAATGTTGATATGTTGGTGATGCTACATTTGTAAATGTACATGTATGTAAAACACTTTCCTGTCATTTAACTATCTTGAAAACACACAGAGTACTACAGGAATATTATTTTCTAGGCCTAATGATTTTTGCTTGAAATTTTAATTTTTCCTCTATAAAAATGAGGTGAAGCCAGAAGGAAGAGAGTTGTTATGTTTTGAATCAAGATACATCGTGCATCGTAAATAATTGATGTTCTTCATATAATTCCTTAATTGGGTAAAGAAAGTATTCTGTAATCTCTATTTCATAATAAGACTGTAACGTAAGTTGTCAGACAGATAATCGTATTTTTTAAACTTTGAAGGAAAACAGAATAACAAACCCGATTTCTTATCCAGAAACACTACCGAGGGATTCCGAATGCAATAACAATTTCCCGTTTTGGGCAGAAATCAAGTGTTTAATTCATTGTGTTGTTTATAAACTTATGTGAGATTAAAAAAATGTTTCTATCAGAAATATCCACTTGCCCGATCGGACAAGTACACTGATAGTTTCACTTGCCCGAACTGAGAATTTACTTGTCCCGGGCAATCGGACAACCGTTAATGTCAATCCCTGCAAGTTTGAATTAATCTCATTCAAGTGATCCAAGTTTATGGCCTGTGCATTATTCAATATAGGTGTGCACTGACCTTGACCTTTAAAATATAAAATGGCCATAAACATATAACTACAGTGTACAGTGACCTTGATCTTAAAATTATGAAATGGACATATGGATTTAATATCTTGATATAATTTATGTCATACACTTTTTTGTGTGAAAGGGTGTGTGTGTGAGCAAGGGTGTGTCTACCTTTGTTGTATTATTAATTTATATCAACTCAGTTCAGTTCATTGTATTTGTTACCCATGACCTTTTATAGAGAAGGTATGTATAGGCAATTTGTTTGTTGCCCAATCTATTCAGCATTCTGAAGAAATATGATTTAAATTAAGGGAGCTAGAAATATTTCCAAATAAAACTATATAATATCTTTTTTTTCAATGACCTTGAGCTTTTAAATATGACATTGAACCTTGACATACCTTTGAGTAATGACCAATAACACACAAAAAATTTGAATCATTTCAGTCAAGAGTTGAAAATATCCTCTTTAGAGGAGTGGACAGGCTTTCGCCTACATCCACTCAGTGGTGATGGATGTAGGCGAAAGCTTGTCCACTTCTCTAAAGAAAATAAAGTTGTAGAGTGATGAAATTTTATGCATCCAAAATTGAGTTGCTTGCTATTTATTAATTTCATACTAGAAAGACAGAGCTGGAAGATGGAATTGACTAAATTCCCTTCTGTACATGTATACATTATTTTCTTTACATTCTGACCTAAGCCCCATACTCTACAGATAAAATGTCTCCCTTGCCCTTCATAAACTTCAACATGTTCGGGGGGGGGGGGGGGGGGGGGGGGGGGGGGTCTTTGACGTTTACGATTTTGTTTTGCGCATGTCCAAAATGTCCTGAAAATTGCAACTGGGATAAAAATATTTCAGATACATGTGTAATTATTGAAGACAAGGAGAAACCGGCATAATGGCATGTACCATTGAAGCATGATGCCGCATCCTGTAGTGTTAAATCTAAAGCAAACTAGCATGGCGCGGCGCCATGCCCCTTTTCCTTGACGCCATGCCCTTTTTTCCAGCGCCATGCCCTTATTTCCTAACCAAAAATTAATAAATATGCCCAGTTTAGGCAATATTCCTTTGCTGTTCTGTTTATTCAGTGCATGCTGATAATCCCTTTGTTTATACAACGACAGGAAATCACTTCACGCTTGAACGCACGAACTCAGCCACCTGGCTAATTAACATGCCTCAGGCTATCAGGGTAGAGGATTTAACTTGAGAAACTGTTATTAGATTGCATTGATTATGCAAGAATTGGCCCAAGATAATGATAAATTAACTTGTAAATTATTAACTAATTAAAATCAGGATCGTTTTTTTAAACCGAAAGTAGAATAAAACACATAGTTGAACTTGAAGAAAAAATGGATATTTATAATATCTGAATAAAATACTTACAGTTTACCAAAAAACTGAATGTAATGTGATAAAAAGGCTCAAAAATAACAAACTAAGTTAGTTTCTTTGGATTTGACAAGCTGAGGGTCAATGTTTCTAATTAAAGCCAGAGTTTTTTTTTTTTAAACAAATCATATTTTGCATTATTTTTTTTTTTTTTTGGGAGTAAGACCAGTTTTCAGTTGATCCTGTTGGTAGAATATTTTCCAAGTAAAGAGAATGGTCTCTACATGTATTTTTTTCAAAATGTCCCTCCCCCTTCCCTGACAAAAAAGACTTAAAAAGTATTATCCTTTAATGTTTAAATTGACGGTACTAGTACACAAATAACACAGTCTAAGCAGGTAAATCATACCTCCAAACTTTAATAATTTTGCAGATGTCTCAGCTAGAATAATACCATTACTTTCTCAAGTGTAACCTCAATACTTTTTTGATAAAGAAATTGGATGTAAAAAAGCCTTTTTTTATATCCTTTTTGTTTCAATAATTGTCTTGTCAGTCTAGGTGTGCTAACTGTGTTGGTATTATTTTTTTAAAATGAATGGAATACAGATATACGAATTTATCTTTAAATTACTTGTTTCAATAAAGATTTCAATATGAAAGGATATTAAAAGTAATTAAACATGTTAAGATATGTAAAAATTAATAAATGTTTAATATAATTTTAAACGCATTAACACTTGTTTTAAAAGTGCCCTTGTGAGATCCTGTCGCGACACAAAGTGCCCTTTTGATTCCTTGATTACCATGCCCTTTTTAGGGTCTAGATTTAACACTATCCTGGCATCTAAGATCCTTGAAAATAATGAAACATTAGGCCTACAATGAAAGGAAATATTTGTTAAAGTATTGACAACAACATGTGAGAGTGCAGAGTTGATTTTTTACCTTTAGAGTATAGTGTGGAGGGCTCATTTTCAAAATAATTTTGTTCAGATGATGATGACAGTCACGAGTTCACAATGCATCATTTCACCAAACTCGGATGGTCTCATTGGGGGGATAGACAACCCAGAGGCATCCCGAAAAAAAAATATACTCTCAAAAAAAAGTGATCATCATAACAAATTATATGATCTAAAAGAACAGAACTTCTTTTTCGAAAATACACAACTTAATCAAAATGAGATAAGAAATTCAAGTCTAGTTACTGAACCGATCGAAATAAAAAGCACTCATAAAATGTCGTCACAAATTTTGAGAGTACTAGGCCTATAGAAAAAACAACATGGCGGCGCCCATGGTTGTAGGTGCCCTTTGGCTTTGACTGAGGAAATAATCTTGCAAACATACTTCTTCCTTCAAAATAATCAAAGAACAAATACTTTGGTTGGAAAATTTAAATAGGTATGTTTAGATACACACTTCAAGTTAACACGCATATGCCGAGATCATCCAAATTGTGTGTTTTTTAAAATGGAAATTTTATGTGAATGGTTTGGACTGCCGACTCTCGGTTTTCTAGTTTTGTTCTTCAGAACACCTTACATAAACGTATCGACTATTTTAGGTAATATGTTTTACGGTGTGACCGTTGAGGCGAGCGCAGTTGTACCATCAAAGCACTTGAAAAATTGATCAGCCACTCCAAACATCAAGTCGCACGAGACATCTCGTCTAGCTGTGACGTCACACGACGTCACGGAGCTCGTCGGAGCTTACGGAAACGGCTGAGCGTCTGGTTTAAACTACAGACCTAGCACAATTTTGGTCGAAAAACATTGCAGAGTTATTTTTTGTTTCTTTGAAAGATTTCTACAAACTGAAAGCTTTTTATGCTTTAAGTTATTGTTTATTTATTTATCTATTTCACAGAAGCAACCGACATGACTTAATTAGCATGTCGTCAAAATTCGTAAGTTTCCGATGACGTCATATGTATCATTTCCGAAGGGCAAGGTGAAGGCCAGTGTTGTGGTATGGGGGGATATTTTTGAATAAGGCAAGGCAAAATCATTTCGTTAAGTTCTCGGTAAGAAACAATGTTCCTTTATTTTTTTAACTATTTTTGATTTATTCGCGCAAAGGACATTGGGTAGTGCAGGAATTCTGGGAATGTTTCACAGAGAAATTTGGCTGACGTATGTACAGATTTCATTCCAAATTTCCTCTGTTCTTACACGTTAGTCTATTGAGCTCGCTGCGCTCACTATAACAGCTAATCTCAGTGAGATGTCGTAGGGACTAAAATATTTGGTCGGACGTCCACTACGTTGAGGAGGGGAGTTTCGTTGCCGCGTAAACAAATAGGTGGGACAGATATTTGATACTGTGTATGTTGGATACATTGCATCATCGATATACCGGTTTATCATAACTACACCATTGTCAGGATGCACTCTACAACTCGAGAATAACCAAGTTAATGTAAAGGCATCATTTTTTAAAGCAAAAAAAAAAAATCGAAACAAAGAAGAAAATATCAGTGGAAGTGAGACTTTTCGGACGAGGGAAGAGATATGGACCCCTAATAAATACGGTACACATGCATCTGATCGTTGCACGTCGGGAATCTAAATGACATATTGATTCTTTTCCGTATTATAACTTTAAAAAACACTTAATTTTTTAGAAAATCGGTTACTTTTTAGGTCACCTGAGTCACTCAGGTGACCTATTGCTATCTGTTTTCGTCCGTCGTCGTCCGTCGTACGTCGTTCGTCGTTCGTCGTCAATCGGTCGTAAACTTTTGAACATTTTCAGCTTCTTCTCTGCAACCACTGAACCAATTTCAACCAAATTTGGCACAAAGCATCTATGGGTGAAGGGGAACAAAAATTATGAATTTCATGATTCCTGCCCCCCTGGGGCCTGAGGGGTGGGGCCAAAACCACTAAAATTAATGCAATCTTTAAAAATCTTCTTCTTTACTCCTGGACATCAAGCAGTCAAACTGTTTGCATGATTGTAATCAGCATTGAGTCCTTTACCAAAATTGTGAAATTCATGGCCCTGGGGTCAGGGGTACTTGTGCTAGGACGGGGCTAAAAAAGTATATAGTGAAAATGCATTATTTCTTTAAAAATCTTCTTCTCTGCTCCTGGGTATTAAATAAACTAACTAAGTACATAGTTATGATGAGCAAGAGTGCCTCTACTAAAATTGTGAATTTTATGGCCCAGGGTCAGGGATTCTGGTGTAAGGGCGGGGCTCTATTGATTATATAGTGAAAATACATGAATTCTTTGAAAATCTTCTTCTCTGCTCCTGGGTATTAAATATACTAACTAAGTACATAGTTATGATGAGCAAGAGTGCCTCTACCAAAATTGTGAATTTTATGGCCCCAGGGTCAGGGGTTCTGGTGTTAGGGCGGGGCTCTATTGATTATATAGTGAAAATACATGAATTCTTTGAAAATCTTCTTCTCTGCTCCTGGGTATTAAATAAACTAAATAAGTACATAGTTATGATGAGCAAGAGTGCCTCTACCAAAATTGTGAATTTTATGGCCCCAGGGTCAGGGGTTCTGGTGTTCAGTAAAGATACAAGAATCCTTTGAAAATCTTCTTCTCTGCTCCTGGGTATTAAATAAACTAACTAAGTACATAGTTATGATGAGCAAGAGTGCCTCTACCAAAATTGTGAATTTTATGGCCCCAGGGTCAGGGGTTCTGGTGTTAGGGTGGGGCTCTATTGATTTTATAGTAAAGATACATGAATCCTTTGAAAATCTTCTTCTCTGCTCCTGGGTATTAAATAAACTAACTAAGTACATAGTTATGATGAGCAAGAGTGCCTCTACCAAAATTGTGAATTTTATGGCCCCAGGGTCAGGGGTTCTGGTGTTAGGGCGGGGCTCTATTGATTATATAGTGAAAATACATGAATTCTTTGAAAATCTTCTTCTCTGCTCCTGGGTATTAAATAAACTAACTAAGTACATAGTTATGATGAGCAAGAGTGCCTCTACCAAAATTGTGAATTTTATGGCCCCAGGGTCAGGGACTCTGGTGTTAGGGGGGGGCTGTATTGATTATGCATGTATAGTGAAAAAACATTAAATCTTTGAATATTTTCTTCTTTGCTCCTAGGCTTTAAGCATATGAACTACCTATATAGTTATGAGCAAGGGACCTAATCTTCAAGAATTGTAAATTTCAAGACCCCAGGGTCAGTTGTACCATAGAGGGGGGGGGGGGGGCTGTTCTTATATACTAAAAATGAATGAATTGTTTGAAATGTGCTCCTTGTTATTTATCAAATATTTTTGAAAAGCAAGGATGCCTTTCCAAAAATTGTGCAATGTGTGGATCTAGGCCTAAGAGTAAAGGGTTCATGTGTGGTAGCGGCACAACTGATTATTGCTGAATATTACTGATTTGTTGAAATGCATTTTTTGTTCCCCTACCCTGCCTTTGGGTATTAAGCAACCAAACTAAGGAACTGTTAAGTGTATAGTTATGATGACCAAATTGTAAATGCTACAGCATCTGGCTTAAAACATGGATCAAATTCAATCACTGGAAAGTTGTTGAATAATGCTCAGGTGACCTATAAGGCCCATGGGCCTCTTGTTATAAAGACTATGACGTTTCTTTCATTTTCAAGTACCCGAAAATTGATAGTAGATTTGTAAATATGCATAATTGAGCCTGATAAAAATCATCAAATGCATCACTGCTTAACATAATTATCTTTCTATAACATTAAAAAAATTTTAAAAGCCATAAATATTGTTCTTTTATTTGTGCACGTTTGTATACAGAGACAACCTGTCCCACCTCCATGCTAAAATGGGTACTTTTTGTGCCTCTAACGCAGGAGAGTTACAATCTCGAAACTCGCGTATTCCAATCAGTTTCAAAGTAACACATGCTCAAAACACGTGTGGACCTTTGGTAAAAATATGAAAGTGTTGTGAAAAAATACATTAAACAACATAATGATGTTTCATTTATTTATTGATAAGGAAAGCAACTGTCAAAAACTACTTCTATGCTAATATGAGGGGAAAAACTGCAGTAACACCACACATAATATTTTTACATGATTGTTTGAAATTGATCACTTCAATTGACAAAAATGCTGCTTTGAAATAAATATTTGTTGTAATGTCCACAGAGTTTCTGTCTATAAACCTCAGCCCCTGGCCTGTTACAATTGATCTCTAACCCTTTACTTTGAAATAAAAGTAAAACACTGCTCAGGAGTTAGATCAATGAAATAAAGTTGTAAAAGGTAGGCAGAGTTGCGACATCAGCTGGTGTCGCTGAATTCCCACTTTTCAGTATGGTCACCGCTCTGACTTTCCCCTGCACATGTCACAATATAAAAAGCAAGGGTAAAAGTCAGAGAAATCTCGGATTAGGGCTTTTTAAGCACAGGACTCGGTGGTTTGCAGTTTTATCAATAAAATATAAGTCAATCAAGTGATTTCAATTGACTTTGTATTGATAAAATTAGGAGTTCCTATGCTTGAAGCAACGTTTGGGCTGACTTTGGTTTCCTGTATATGCAATTTATACTCTGAACCATTGTGGCCAGGTGAACTACAGTGTATTTTGTTGAATCTTCTCGAATCTATGTCCATTGTGCCCTGAAATTGTGGCATTCTGTTTAGCTGCTCGCACTGTGATAAGTAATTTTAATTAAGAACTTACAATGATCATCTCATAAATTCAGTTTTTAAAATACACATTTACCAAATATTCAACTGCCCAACTTAGTCCTTCCGAATGTGGTTTGAAGAGGTAGATCAAGGTTAAACATGAATAGGCAGAATATTCAGTAATATACACCACAGAGCTTGCCCTAACAGTTGCAGCATTGACAGCGAAGTCGTTGGGGCTAGCACAGTTTTGTAATATTGCATATCCCAACTATTCAATATTGAACAAATTTTTCAAACTGCAGGAGACAATTGAAAGGTCTAAACTGTGACACCAGATGATGATGTATGTTAGTTTCCATATCTAAGTCAGAAATGTTTAATCTTTCATTGCAGATATCTTGATTAGAAATGAGGACTCTCTCATTAGACTTGCTGAGACAATGTGTGCAGAGATTGAGCTTAAGACAGATGTCTTCTCTATCATCAGGTAAAAGGATTAATATATATAATAATATTAGTGAATAATGCTAGTAAGCAAAAGTTCAGATGTAGGCTTTTTTGAGCTTTTACATCAAATTTTGTGCTGCTTTCTTGTGTTGTGTTTGTTAATTTTCAATTTCTCTTTACCAACAAGTTTAAAAATCTATGCTTACAGTAACTAGGCATCAGCCACTTTATAACAAAGCATACCCAAGTACTGGGCAGTGTGTAGCAAATCAATTCTGTCCTCTTAAAACCACAAACAAAGTATGTTTAGATTAAAGGGGGAGCTCAATCATTATTTTTCATGTCAGATGATAACAAGTGGAATAGTATTACAGTAACGACAATTAAAAATCTTTCATAAAAAAGCTTTCATATATATTATTTGTATTAAATACATATATTATTATATATATACCTTTTGATTTGTTTTCAGTTGCCACAGAATCCTCAAGTTTTCCAAACAGATTTGGACAAAGTTCAGGAATCATAAAAGAAGCTGAAAAGAAAGGGAGGCCTCCTTCCTCAAATAAGGAAGGCATTATCTGTCCCACCAACTCCCTGACCTGTGTCATACTGGATGTATTCATATCAAATCCCAAATCATGCCCCACATTTTATAAAACAGAGGTAGAATTCCTCCTACCAAATCCATTGACAGGATGTTATACTGAGAAGGAGGCCCCAACTCTTTATGATTCTCCACTCAAAGAGGCTGTGGACGAACTTAGGAGACAGAGAAGTAGGATGAACAAACACAAACTACGTCGATACCGACACGAAAACTTGATGGATATCAGGGAGCATAGACACAGAAAGCTGGAGAAGAGAGCTAAAGAAGATTTAAAAGTTATTGAGAGATTTAGGACTTATTCTGCTAATTTCAATGCAGAGGAAAAAGTGATGCAGGATCTGGAGACAGCGAGGCGGGGAGGGTTTTATGTCGAGTGCTTTGGACCGAATAGGGAGGACAAGAAAAACGCTTCCTCTCAAGTAGAGGATAAATCTTTAGATATTTTGTAATCTTATGTGTATTATGGTATGTGAATTGCAGCATAAAATCCATAAATAAAAGACAACAATTCAGTTTTTTTGCAACTTGTATTACAGTAATAATCAAGGATAATTGTCATATGAACTGTAAGAAATATTTTGATTAGGCCATCTTTTAAAATTAACCTTGGCCATAACTTTTGAAAGTTAGTACTAGGGATTTCATATTTCACAGGTGTATTCCTTCTGACAAGACCTTCCTGTGGATACCAACAATTTTGACTTTGACTTGGATTTTGACTTGCATTTGAAAAACTTCAATCATGGCCTTAAGCTGCCATATTATGAGGGCATCAGCATTTCACAAATACATTTTGATCCATTTAAATAGACATCATTTTTTCCAAAATGTAGTTTTTAAGAGTAGGAGGACTAGCTTCAGGTTCATATTTTTAAATGTATTACATAACAGTGGTCATAAAAGTAATACTAAGCCAACCAAAGTACAAATCCCCCTTCCCCCATTTTGGGTTAAACAGAGGAGAGAATCTGTCTCTGTTAAGCTCATACGCAATGTAGTTTGAACTTTATTGGTCTCTTCCCTGGAGTTGAAGAGTTCAACTAAATGAAGGACCTGGGTGCAATACTTTTAATATCTATATATAGATTTGTACACCTCTTCTAAAACAAATTTTGATGAAAAAAAATATGGAAATTATTTTTCACTCATACACCAACACTTTTCTATAGAGAACTGCAAATTTTGACAGGTCTATGCTTGGCACTCAGGGCCATTGAGCAGTGAGTGATCTTTTTCATGCCAGGACCTACTGCAACAGGATCTCGGTTATAAAGGTCTCATGCCAAGGACCAGTCTCCATATATTGAAAGATACCCAGGTTGTTTTAGAAAATAAATGAGTTAAAACAGATACAAGGTCATTTCTATAGGGTATACAGCAACCTACTCCAGCATGCTAGAGATTCACGGTGAGATACTTTTGAGTTGGTTCGCGTAACCTCTAGCATCCATTGTAAAAATTCTTGCAGCTGAAACCCCAAGGTATATAAGGAGCGTAGGGACGTTAACCAAATCTCTTACTTGTAGGAGTAACAGCAACCAAATATAGACATACAGTTTTCAACTGGACAGATATTTTATTTGTGCACATAAAAGAAACAATTTGTACATGGAACAATAATAAATAAAAATTGTAGATCTTGGTAACAAAAAGAAGGTCAAGGAGTTAAATCTTGGTTAATCTTAGTGCAAACCACTTCTCATAAACAGTCTAGAAAAGAGAAAACTCCAAAAATACACACCTCTGCTATCTATACTAATGTCAAGTTATATATCCATCAATTTTATGATAAATACAGTAGAAATAAATGAAATTTTAAGACCTTACAAACCCTTTGAGTATTCTTTTTCCTTTACAAATTCATGCAAATATGGTTCATATTTCAACAGAATACACAACTTTTTTTTTATCTTTCAATCTATGAAATGTCACCTTCTCAGGCTTCTGACTTTTCATTACGTGAAACAGACATTGTGAATATAAATCCTTATATATAGGTAAATCAAAACATAAACAAGAAATAAATTATAGATGTAAGTCAATTATTTTTTTAACAATTGAGTACCTTAACACTTTAACTGAATTTGAATCACATGGAAAAAGAAAGATGTTTCAATTATTTCTAAAGTAGCTCCTCTAAAGTTACTTATTCATTGGATCAATGTTTGTTAGTTGCATAACATTTTCTGATACATAAGGTTAATCTTCAATTGGGTATTTTATGTATAGTAATACTTTAAATAATTTTCTTAAAATCTGCTTAAATACTTATTCTAAATACCAAATAAGTCATGTTACTACATTAAAATTAATTTTTTAAATCAAAATGTTACCCTCCAGTTTGCATAGCTTGATTGTATTGCATCAGTTATTTTTATGTACATTCACCACCTGCATGTAAATCAACATGATGTAATTATCATGAAAGTCATCAGAGAAGTCTGAAGTCAGTTGAAAGGGCCCAAAAAGGGATTTCTAGAAAACATCTTTTTTCCCATAAAGGTTCAATCTTGCCTAAATTCATAATTTTATACTTTTAAAGAAAAGTTTCTTTGGAACTCTCCTTTACTGTTGAAAGCTATTTCACATAATGTTTGTATTACTATAATCATAATGTTTGTATTACTATAATAAGTCTGCACAAACTTTTCAGTCCTGAAGTCCAAATTTTACAATGAAATACATTTTTTTAAAGTTCATGAATGTCCTTTCATATTAAAAACTCCATAGCTAAATTTGATGTACTAGGAAAAAAAAAACATTCTGATTAGTGAATACTCCCTCAACAGTCATAAAAGGTTAGGTATTATGGTCCTTCATAGTGCATTTACACACAAAAATAATGTAAATAAAAGAAGAAATATTCCAACAAGAGGCCCAAGGGCCTTATAGGTCACCTGAGTATCATGCAACAACTTTCCACCAAGTTAAATTTGATTCATGTTTTAAAGCAGAGGCCATGGAATTCTGATGCAATTTTGAAAGAGGCACCATTTAAGTTTTATTTCATAATGTTGTTGATTAATACCAAAGTGCAGCTTTCAAAGTATTAAATAATTTTCAGATTATGTATCCCCCCCCCCCCCAAAAGCACCTCAGTCCCAGGGGCCAGTAAAATAACCGTTTTTGAAAGAAGCAGCTTTCTTTGTCATAAATATATACTAAGATCATTGGCATAATACCCAAGAAAAAAGGAAAACATTTTCAAAGAATTCATGCATTTTCATTAAATAAACATTAGAGCCCCACCCTAACACAAGAAGCCCTGACCCAGGGGCTCTGAAATTCACAAATATCAAAGATTCATCCTTCCTTCTCATAACTATGTACATAGTTCAATGGTTAAATACCCAGGTGTAGAAAAAAAGATTTCTAGAGAATTTATGCATTTTCACTATATAATCAAAAAAGCCCCACCCTAACACCAGAACCCCTAACCCAGGGGTCATGAAATTCACAAATTTGGAAGAGGCAGCCTTATTCAACATAACTACGTACTTGGTTAGTTTATTTAATACTCAGGAGCAAAGAAGAAGATTTTCAAAGAAATAAATCATTTTTACTATATAATCTATATAGAAATACAATTTTAGAAGAGGCAGTTTTTCAACATATATACTTTGTTAGTTTATTTAATGCTCACAAACAGAAAAGAAGACGTTCAAAGAATTTTTGCATTTTCACTATATAATCTATATAGCCCCGCCCTAGCACTAAAACCCCTGCCCTGGGGCCATGAAATTCACAATTTTGGAAGAGGCAGTCTTATTCAACATAGCTATGTACTTAGTTAGTTTATTTAATCCCCACGAACAGAGAAGAAGAATTTCAAAGAATTTTTGCATTTTCACTATATAATCTATATAGCCCCGCCCTGCCACTAGAACCCCCGACCCTAGGGCCATTAGATTCACAATTTTAGAAGAGGCAGTCTTATTCAACATAGCTATGCACTTTGTTAGTTTATTTAATGCTCACAAACAGAAAAGAAGACGTTCAAAGAATTTTTGCATTTTCACTATATAATCTATATAGCCCCGCCCTAGCACTAAAACCCCTGCCCTGGGGCCATGAAATTCACAATTTTGGAGGAGGCAGTCATTTACAACTCAACTATCACTTGGTTAGTTTATTTAATGCCAAGGAGCAGAAAAGAAGAATTTCAAAGAAATAACGCATTTTCACTATATAACCTATTTAGCCCCGCCCTAGTACTAGAACCCCTGACCCTGGGGCCATGAATTTCACAATTTTGGTAGAGGACTCAATGCTTATTACAATCATACTAACAGTTTGACTGCTTGAAGTCCAGGAGTAAAGAAGAAGATTTTTAAAGATTGCACTAATTTTAGTGGTTTTTGCCCCACCCCCCAGGCCCCATGGGGGCAGGGAATACGAAATTCACAATTTTTGTTCCCCTTCTCCCATAGATGCTCTATGCCAAATTTGGTTGAAATTGGTTCAGAAGAAGCTGAAAATGTTCAAATGTTAACGGACGACGACGGACAAAAACAGATAGCAATAGGTCACCTGAGTTTACTCAGGTGACCTAAAAACAGAAATTGTCTCCAAATGTAAAAAACAAAATAAAATCACAGACAGTTTGTATAATAAATAATCATGGTTAATTGGTTATCTAAGGTAAATCTAGTAGACTCTCCTTTGCATACAGCTCTTCCGTGATGACGAATATTTCCTTCTGGACATCTGATACCCTTCCTAGTAAATCTTTAGCTTTTTCAGCATCCTCAACTTTCAACTTCTCAAGGAAATGTTTTCTGGAGGGTAATGTGTAGACGGCTACATGTACACCTTTCCTTATAAGCCACGGATGATGACGAGCAAGTGTGTCGTCGTAAGCTGTTTTGGTGAGATGGGACATTTTCTCGTGTTCCTCAGCCATCTTTAGGTCTGACAGAAGCCTTGATGTGAATTCCAGAGCTCTATGAAGTCGTAAAAGAGTTCTTGATCCAGAGGCCTTCTTTTTGTTGTTAGTGGTCTTGGTTTCTACTTCATACTGAATCATGCTCTGTATGGAGACATACTTCTCAGACACTTCGCTGCTTCGATATTCTCTAAGAATGCCTATTTTTTCTACTACATCTGACGTAACAAAGCCAAACACTGATCCCAGTATGGAAAACAATCTGTAAAATATAAACAGAATGTTAGTTTTCAATGCCAATGGAACTACAGTATTGCTGCATGCGGTTAGTACAAACTGAAAGTAGATCTAGCTGCTTGAAAAAAAAATGTAACTGATTGAATGCAAGTTTACTGGCGTCTACTTTAGGCTGTGAGGTTGATACAAATGCTAAGAACAGTTAAATCTTGAACTTACCTAATGTTATCCCTTTGAAATGTGTAACATGTATACAAGGAAGCCTACGTCTTTATATATTTTTTAAAAATGCTGTTTCAGCGAATTCTTATTATTTTTTTATGAGTGCCTTTAGACAGATATTGAAAAACACAATATAAAATTTCATAGCACCTATAAGTCTAACCACGACACATAACCCCACTGATTTTCACTTACTTGCTTAATTCTTCATATGCATCTACATAGGCGTCCATTATCACTACATCTCCATCTTTACATTTTGCAAACAAACTGTCTAACTTTTCAAGGTTAAATTCCTCCGTAGACATCTTAATGTTCAACAATTTTTTGGGCTGCTGTGAATTTCCAATAAGGATTAAGGAATGTGAAATAATAATTTATCGATTACTAATCACTAATCCAAACAGGAACCAGGTGTCCGCAAATAAATTACAAAACTTAAAATATATGGAAGAAATTATTCCGGATAGATCGCAAAAGATAAAAGATTTAGGTGATGAATTATCTTTAAAAAAAAAAATAAATACTTAAATAAACGTACCAGAACATCAATCAGATTGTATTTTTCAAAGGTGTGTTATTGCAATTTTTTTAAATTTCATTTGGGGGGGGGGGGGGAGTGGCCAACTTTTTTTAAGGCCAACTTCCTTTCAATTCCTATTTTTTTTTACCCACAATACTATATTTCCTTCATATCACTATCCTGTGATAAGAGTTGGGGGGACCTACCTTTCAATGGTCATTTTCAATAGTAAAGGTATTGCTGGGAAAAAAGTGTGGGGGGGGGGGGGCCCTGTTGCTACGTGCCTGATTTTCAAAGGTGTTTATATATGTAAAGATCCTATGAATCAATGGTATTTAATAAAATTGTTAATCCAACTGTTTAAAACAATTTTTTTCTGTTTTAGAATTAAAATCATGATTGTGGATAAAAGTACATGTATAAACATTTGATTTATTAGAAAATATATTACGTAAAAAATATCAAAATTTGCAATAACATTAGAGAGGAGACAGGAGATAGGGAAGGAAGCCGAGACTGACAGAACATGGATAGGATTTATATTTATTTTAATATTAAAGATATGCATGCCGTGTTAAACAGTATTTTTGCACAGGTGAAACCGAACACAAATTTCTGGAGTATGATAAGCTACCAAAAATGAAGCATTCTTGCAAATTCGACGAAATTTTATTCGGTATTAACAAAGTACTGGTCAGGAAAAATACACGATATTCTCATGCATATTTATAAAGGACTGACGTTTATCCTGGATCTGCGCATGTGCGCGGGAAAAGCATCGCGAGAATCATCAGGTCGAGGAAAATATTTTTTGTGACGTCTGTTCAGTGAGGGACACAAATAGACCAATCAGCTCAATGAGTTGCATTTAATGCATTTATGGGTTACTACATAAAATACTACATGTATTTTTCAAAAAGGCTAGTTTTTTAAATCGCTCTCAGAAAGACTTGATGCATTATGTACATTATTATCTACTAATCCCATGCTCATATTTGCATACAAATGATTAACAATGATGAAAATTAAAGTTTTCCCCACTCCATTGTACAGGTCCGTTTGTTTAGAGTTTCCGCGTGCTGTACTGCTAGTGGGCATTTTCGGTTGGGTGAACATTTACGGATCTTCAGTATGGAGCGCATAATGCGCAAAAGATATTTTGTGTCAAATACAATGTATGGAAAGTAATTTAAGCTGCTTACACCCTGAATGGGATATCGTCAGTTATCCCTTTGGGCTTTTTAATATGAACTTCATAACATATGTAGATGAAACTTACATACCATACATCTTGCCTTCTTAGAAATAAAGTTGGGCTAATAAAATAAAATTGGTCAAGGAATTTCAGGCCTCTAAAAACTATTCCAGTTTGAGGGCACAACCAAGCATTTTGATGAACACCATTAAGAAAAATTAATTCAGGTAGGTAGCATCAGTTTTTTTTAAAGTGGGTGGGGGGATAGAACAGTTAGAATAAAAATCAACTAGCTCGAAGAAATCTGACAAGTAAAATAGGTTCCAATATCTTTCACTACTAAATTTTATTCATTCACTACAATTTACTGCCAAACTTCAAATTTCACTTTCGAATTAGCCCGAGCCTATGCTGATAACCTACTTGCAAGATTTTTTATATTATTTTCAAGGGGTCAGAAATACTGTGGTTCATATGTAAAGAATATAAATATATTACATGTATTTAGTAGTGTTCTGGTTTTGGCATTCGGTATATTGTGCAGATTTATACATAATATTCTGTGGAATACTTATTGTTGTTTGGAACCATCAAGAAATGCAGAATCGAATGTATCTAATAACCATTTTGATTGATCAAATTATATCATTTGTTTGTATTGGTTATTTCATTTTGGCATAACATGGTTTCCACACTTCTTTATCCATAGTCGCTGACAGCTGTAGAAGTTCACCCAACCGAAAATGTCCATTGAAAAGACAATTGCACGTGATTATTCCTCGGTACAAAAAGCAACCAACTCTGAGAGTGTATTCGATTAAGACAACCCGTGTCGCACTAGTGTTAAATATGCGCATGCTCATTGATTGAACTCTAGTGATCTAAATAAAACATCTCGTGTTGTTTAGTGTTTGTATAAATATGGCGGGGAAAACAGTATATTCCCTGTATATCGCGTTTGAACAGGACAAACAATTGATTAACACATAATATCCAATTATCAAATAAAGAATAGCAGATAAGTTAATACAAGACATCGAAGCTGAAATTAATTATTCAACAAAATTTATGTTTTACAGATACAACCACAGGAACCTGTCGTTACTTATTTTTCTTTTAATGAAAAATATGGGTATATTCTTTTTTTTTTAACGAAAATAAGTACACATGTAACGCCACGTGCCTGTGGATACAACATGTTTTATAGATTATTTATCCTTGCAATAATATTTAACAATTCAATACCTCCTCTTATTAAAATAAAAAAGTAGAATAAATATGTCTCCACATACATATATGTTACGGTGTAAAATATAACATTTTTAGACTTATTTCAAATTACCATGTAAATTAACTTTTCGGACTTTGTGTAAATTGTTGTCAAAAGTTTTCTTATATATTTCGGCAAATGCGATAAATTAAATTAATTCTGCACAGCCCTAATCCCACCTGAGGCATGGTCAGAGATTGGAATCTGTTTATATTTATTGACGCTTAATCTTTCATCTTTAATTCTATTATATACATAATGCTAAAATGTCACCATTCGCTCAATAATTGTTTGATACTTGATTTCTATATACCTTTTGTTAATCCTTTTATTTTACTCTGTTTTTGTTCAGAAAATACGTTTTGTTGTGAAAACATTATAGTCAGTTGGAATCAGACCTTCGGTGCTGATACATCCCAAACTCATGTAAAAGTATATTCCTTGCTGATTCTATATAAAAGTACAAAACTGTATCTCGTGTTGGTGACTTTGAGGATTTAAAAAAATCTGGGTTCAACAATAAGAGGAGAGTTCACGGTTGAACCAGAATCAGCAGTATTGACGATCAGAATCATCCCGTAAAACTTACATGGAAATAGTTTTAAATATAATAGTGACGTACCATCGTTTTTGAAAGGGGGGGGGCAAGCCAGAGAAAAAAAACCCGACACTTCTATTTAGTTGGAGGAAGATGATGTAGGTTCCACTTCCTTCAGTACCAAATTTTATTCATACGATACGACTTCAGCCTTGCTTGGCTTTACTGTAATAAAAAGGGGGAGGAAGCAATCGGTGGTCTTTCAAAGACGATTTTTAAAAGGAAAGAGATGTTTGGGAAAAAAAGTGTGGGGAGCGCTTCCACCAGCTGCTCGTTCCTGTATCCCCCCCCCATAAAATTTTGCACGCTTTATTATAATTGGTTAGAAGCTAGAGTACCAAAGGTGACATTTTTCATTAATATAATGTTAGTCATAGGATGTAAGAGACATATACTTTTACAAAAAAAAAAAAAGAAAACTTGAGCATGTGTGTTTGTCATGGTCTTACATGGCTGTGGATTTAAATTTTGAGTCTGTAAAAATAATGTTCAATATTTCAACTAATTTTTTTTTTTGAAAAAAAAAAATACACATGGAATTGTTCAATAATTATTAAAATTGTAATCAAAGGCTGAAAAGGTAATTTCTATATACTTATAACATTAATTTTATTGTAAACAAAGAACCGGTTGGCTCTGGGGACCCGACCCCCATATTTATAAGATTACATTGTAATACATGCATGTAACTGAAATTGCTCTCACATTTCATCCTGCAATTATGTTAAAACTGAATTATAGATAATTATTATTTAACTTTATAAGGTAATTAACACAATATATATGCTGCGAATGTTAAATGTATCAAAATAATTTTAGTGAATTAATATGCATCTATTAGACATTTTTGTAATCAAGTGGCCCGTTTTACAAAAGAACTTACAACTAAAAGCAAAACTGATTCTGCGATTTTATTCTTCTTGAAAAGAATTTAGAATGCTTCTATGGTAACAAATTCCAAAAAGGTTAAGTTTCAAAAATTTATAATCAACATAAGTTTTTGGTTATTAGTCCTAAGTTCTTTTGTAAAACGGTCCCCAGAGGTTCGGGAAATAATTATAGGCAGATTTAAAAAAAAATACTCCTTATTAAAAAAAATAATTAAAAACTGCCATTGATAACACAGCCGTAATTTTAAGAGGTTGACCTAAAAACTAAAAAAGGGAGGGATATCAAAATTTTAATGCAGACTTTTTTCATTGACGTTGTAAATTTCTTATACAAACACTGATAAAGTCTTTATGCAAAAACAGTTTTCGCATTTACAATGCGACTTCACTTCCCGCCATTTCTTTCACCTGTTACTCCAGGTAAACTGAGGAGTATACTCGCGTAACACGGGTTGATCACCCGTGTCGAAGGTAGGTTGTTTTATTTACAACTCCAGTGACTCGTGTAACCCGTGTCGCTTAATCGAATATACCCTGAGGTGCTCTCATTATATTGACAATCCCTAACTCACGTATTTGTAGTAAAAACGTAGTAGACCATCATGCTTTTCGGTTCATTCACAAGTTTGGACCATTGTTTGTTGTAAACATGCGAGACAACGTGGTCATGAATATTTCAATAAGAGGCGGTTTTTTATCCGACACGGAGAGAAAATAATTTTTACCAAATAATATTTCATAACTTTTAAAAGTGATGGAGTGGAATTGTCTTATTTGCAGAAAGTATATAACTTATATAACTTGATGAGACACCACATATATTTATTACTTTTAAAATAAAACAATAATACGGCATATATAGCTTTAAAAAACATGGCGAGACTTTGTGCCATATACCCTCGCATATCAAACTACCTCTCCTTGATCTTTTAGTGTAATATGAAGGAAGTAAAAAAATAATAAAGAAAGTAAAAACAATGACAAGTATATAATTATTATGATATATTGTACTTTCTAGGAAATATTTTTGAAGTGTTTATCGAAAATATTATTTATTTATTTTTTGTTTTTGGTTTGATTATTTACACTTGTATCATAACCTCACTTATTCCCTTATCTTAAGGTATTAAATCTATAAATCGATTATTTAAATAGTTCTGACCAAGCACGCATTGTTTATCTAATATATTGGTAATTCATTTAAACTTCCATGTTGAAAGACTTATATTTAGTGCTTCGAAGGACAGGCTATTGGGAATTTTCAAACACCTATACGTTTAAAGGTATTTAGGTTTCCTGGTTAAGAAGTGAATCTAAAAGTAAACTCTGAGAGAAAGGAGGATTTACATGCAGGATCTCGTAGATTGTTTTCATTATGCATAGGTCGCCTCATTATGCTGGTAGGTGTGCTTCTTGTTAATGATAGTTGTATTTTAAATTCTTTGGTTTCACATCATGGCGAGGATGTTTGTTTTGTTTTTGTATCGCGATGAACAACGGTAACCCAAGACTATTCCGCTTAATTAAATGCTTTTCAAATGGATGTAGATGTTTACGAATATAAACAATGTATCAGAATATGAATTTCTTTTATGTTCTTTGAACTTTATATACTGTTGAATACATGTATTTTAAAAACATTTCAAGGTATCCACGTGATCCTGTTATTCTGAAACGACTTTCACATTTACAAAAGTCATTCCCCCTTAGCTGGATCAATCGGGACTCATCTTTTTTTTCATGTTGCCCCATAATCTGGCAATACAAATACAGGTGGAAATTGTCCGATAACGTTTGAAGATTAAAAATATTTACAAAAAATTACAGAGGACACGGTGCAAAAAAATGAGCGTTTCGCAGACAACGGGAGATAACTCTTAGGAATGTGGTTGTAACGCGTCATTTGATTGGATAAAAAAGTATATGTATATTGTATAACCTGATTGCCTACGTCACAATTATTATTTACGTCAGTTTACCGGCACTTTTTCATAAAACGCTTCGTGGTTTCTAAAGCGTAAACAGCACCAAACCAGGTTATTCAGTATAACTTGAGTTGCCATCTAAATCTTTCCTTAAATAAAATTTCCTTTTAGACAAACTATTCCCCGCGCGGGCAGATATGATATATTTCCTCATGTAAACAGTTGATCCAGAAAAGGGTGATTAAGCTCCTCTGATTTTCAACGAGAGAGAGAGAGAGAGAGAGTTAACACATCGATTTTTATTACATCAATGGTCAATAATTGATAAAATTTAAATAATTTATATCTACCTAACCTTCAAACATTTCCTGAATCAGTGACGGAAAGAAAATGAAGCAATCGCTAATCTGAACATTGTCGAAATAATTTAAAACTTAACTTCAAAGTACGATGAATAAAATGCGAAATATAATCAAAGTAAGTACTGAAAATACTGAAAGTCAGACTTTCATCAATTTATTGCTCACCGGAGCTGAAAGCTCAAATGAGTTTTTTTCTGATCACCCAGTGTCCAACGTCTGTCTGTAAACTTTTCACATTTTCATTTTCTTCTCAAGAACCACTGGGTCAATATTAACCAAAATTGGTAATTGGGTTGAGGAGATTCTAAATTGTTAAAATAAAAGGGCCAAACACCCTTCCAAGATATCAAGAAAATGCAAAAAATGGGATGGTATCGATAAAATTTGTCTTCTTGAAGAACCACTTGGCCAGAAATAATGAAATTTATGCAGAAGCTTCCTGAGGTAATGTGTATTATAAATTATTCAAATAAGGACCACTAGGGAAAGGGTGAGGCCACAATAGGGAATCAAAGTTTTCTTTTTTAATAAATTGAAGATATTTAAAAAAGAAATATTTAAAAATCATATTCTCAAGAGCCACTGGACCAGAATGGATGAAACATATGAGGAAGCATGCAGGGGTAGTGTACATGTAGATTTAAAATTATTGAAATCATGTCCCCCGGGATTTGAGGTTGGGCCACAGGCAACTGACGTTACTTATTTTTCTTTTAATAAAAATATACCCATACCTAATAATAAATTATTATTATTAGGTATAGGTATATTTTTTTATGAAAAAAAAACTAAGGAACGTCAGATGCCTATGAGAAAAACTCTTTAAAAGCCTTTTTCTCAAGAACCACTGGGCCAGAAAAGATGAAACTTATGTGGAAGTATATGGGGGTAATATCGATTGTAAAATATTGAAATGATTGCCCCCGGGGGTAAGGTGAGGCGACAATAGGTAATTAAATTTTTCCAATGAAATATATAGGAAAATATTTAAAAATATGCTCAAGAACCATTAGGTCAGAAAATATGAAACTTACGTGAACGCATCTTGGCGAAGTGTAAAATCTAATTCTAAATTATTGAAATTATGCCCCCATAGGGTAGGATGGGGCCAAAATTGGGAATAAGATTTTTACATTGAAATATATGGAAAATACTTCTCCTCAAAAACCACTAGGCCAGAAAAAAACTGAAACTTATGTGGAAGCATCCTTGGATAATGAAGAATTTAATTGTTCAAATAATGGTAGAGTGGGTCCAAAAGGGGAGGGGTGTCTGCTGAAGATCAGCAGGGCCAAAGTAACTTGGGTGAGCGTTGTGGCCTATGGGTTTCTTGTTTGTTTTAAATTTTAGACAAACATAACAAAAACGTCACCATTCACCATCCTGAAACTAAGTGAACTAACCCAGTCACTACAGGCCTGTAAAATGCCTGGGTTGGGGTGCTCCCCACTTTTTGTTCTCAGTATAGTACATCGCTAAATCTAAATTTCATTTAGATGCTGGTCCCGACCACCTGTTTTGTTGCTCTTAAGTTAAGCACTGATAGATTGCAGGATTTGAAAAATGTACCAAAAAGTAAAAGAGAGAGTTCCAACCCCAATCCCCCTAAAGTTATTTACTTTTTTTGTTTTGTTTGATTTTATCTTAGAAGCTTGTTATTGACGCAAAGAGTTTGGGGGTTGAGGCCCTGTTCACATAAGTACGCGTAGGTGTATGTGGGGGGGGGGGGGGGGTAATGTATTATAGACCTTGGATTTACATATTTGACTACAGAATATTCGTTTATTTACAAACATGAAATATATATAAATATGTAGCACTTTCTTTCCTTGCAATCGGTATTTAATGATTCTCCACGTCCATTTGGCAATGGTTAATAGGTACCGTGTACAGTATAATTATATATATTGAATCACTACTGATGAAATATGAAGGTTAATTTATATAATCAGGTATAATTTTACAACCAATTAATAAAAAAATTTAATATAAATCTTGTAAAATTGAAACAGTAATTTCTATATATAGCTAAGATGAATGTGTATGTAAAATTTTGCAAATACATGTATTTTGCATGTTAATCTTGACCTAATACAAACCTTTAATTTATATGTAGAAAGGAGTTAGTAAGTTTTCAGCACTTGCGTCCAATTTCTTTGTAATCAAAAATTACAAAAAAAGTGCCTTCAAACCATTAAATCATCTAAAATCGTAAAAGAAAAAAGGAGGAGGAGGGGGTGTTGTGGGGTTCTCTAATGTTTCTTGTATGGAATTGGATGTTTGCCCCCGGGCCCCAACTCCATCCCTCTACAAATGACAGCCCCCTTAATTTACAAAAAACAAAACAAAACAAAACAAAACAAAAAAAAAAAGACTGTTCTACTTTGGAGACATTTGATATATTGATTCTATTGTAAGGTCCTATACATGAAGAGCTTTATGCCGACGACACACTGAATGTATACACAGTTGTAGTGTGTAAGGAGCGGAACACTTGTAGGATTGAAAGCTTCCGAGTTAATGTTTTAATAAATAGAGGCTTGAATTCTGTTGACAGATTCGAAATGTCGGAAGAAAAGCATATTATAGGTAGGTAAAACTTTAATATTGTCCACCATATTTTTATTCAGAGTAGTAAAAGAATGCTGAACTTTTCCGATTACAAAGTAGCTCCGGGTGCACGGAGTTTTGATCGTGTTTCTCGAGAATTAGCCAAGGTCTTCTATTATGACAAATATTTGATGTTCTGAACGTGGATTCATCAGGTGGTTCTAAAAAATACCTACATCTATAACTTCATAAATATTTAAGACATCTTGGTATGTTTATCTGTTAAATACACGATTTTGAAATTCAAATACTGTGATAAGATTTTATCATTTGACTAATTAAAAGTGAAAAGGGGGAAATTGCAATCTGACTTAGAATTGTAACTCTAGAACAATTAATAGCTGAAGAGACTGCAAGTGTGCCGTGCATACATATGCACTAATATAGAAAACACGCTCAAAAAAGCTGTACGCAAAGAAAACAAACATCGCGCAACATTCTGATCACTCATCAATTACGAGCACAGCATCTATATAAAATCTCCTGTTAGATACTTGTCATCATCTGCTACACACCGAACTACCTATAACACATGTCTACAAGATACACGCACATCGATGAGATGTTAAATATATTTATATGCTCGCTGAAAAAAATCGATCATAGATACTAATCTCCCCCTTTTTCCTCCAGGTCCTATTCAAGGTTAAATCATCACATGATCACACTGGCACATGACATCCCTGCCTTAGCTTACACCATTTAAACTTTTTCTTGCGGATCCAAGATTATTTACAATGGGGAATCATGCTTGCTTTCAAACAAAATGTATTGTTAAGCCGGAATGCGAAGAGATAGCTCGTAACATGTTTGTTTGACAGCGGATACCGCCCCTCTCTATATATAGAAGACTGGGAGGGGATACAGGGATTCAATGAAAATCCGTCAAGTTACAGTAAAAGTGTAAAATTCAATTGTTTAGTTTTAAATTTCCAATATTCAAGTTGATGAATTTTAAACTGCATTGAACTGATATAAAGCCATTTCACTGGGTATGGAGAGGATATAACAAGTAGAGAGCAGAACTTTCACCTGTTACATATCCTGGTCACGGCACCAAATGTAACCGGGAGGTGCTCTACCGAGTTATCTGGCCTACGGCAACCGATCGCCACAATACTACCGTAATTCTTTGGGACGATGCGATGAGGATTATTTTTGTCTGTGTACTAGTAATACATACATATAGACTTAATTCCCACCTCCCCTTTCTGGCCGAAAACCAGACGGACTGCAACCTCCCTCTCTGGGCATTTTCTGCCAGAGGTTCATGTTCTCCTCCATTTATTTTCTTTTATAGAGGAGAGATGAACCTCAAAATCTTAGATCCGTTTCTATTGATTTAACGCGTGCGGTGGTCGAGAACAGCAACGCTGTTTGGTGGAATTATCCCTGTAGCGAATCCTAATATTACATTAAAATAAATCTGTCGAGGTTATAATACAAAAACATGTGCTGAATTGAAGGATGTATTTTTTTTTATAGTTCATGATATTATATGTATACTTTTTAGAATTTTGGCTTTTACAGATGAACCTCCGCCGTCCTATGATTCATTGTACGGTAAAATCAAGAAAGCAAAAGTAGAATCGGACAGCAATGTTGGGTTTTTCAAAACAGTGGTTGGACTCTTATTTGCATCAGGTATGTATTTAAAGTTAAATTATTCCGTTAACTTTCTTAAACTGCACAAACTCAGAGGACAGTCCTAATGACCAAAATCAAAATATTTTGAAAGAAAAGGAACAATCTTGACCATGCTAGCAAGTACACCCACTTTGCACAAACCTAGGGATACATGAAGATTATAAATGGATGCTAGCACTCACTGTTATTATTTTGACATTAACACTAAAAAAAAGTCCTTGGTTTATTCCAGTCGGCTGTACTATTTGCCTAATAATCATCTTGGCCATTCCGGTAGCAAGTATTGTTATAGGTGAGTACAAGTTTTGAAAATTGAAACAAAAATAAAAGTTATATCCATCAGATTGAGACAAAAATGAAACTGGAATTATATTTAAATGATATTTTCTGATCATTTATTAAATATTGTAGGTGCTTTGTATCTGAACAAATGTCCAATCCAGCGCTACATTCCTATATATTTGATCGTGTCGGGGGCGGTGGGGATTGTGTACAATGTGTTTGGGATTCTAAGGAAGTTGGCCTCCAAGAGGAATGAAGAAGGGGAGACCGAGGAGCGCCCGGGGGTGTTCACCAGCATCTGTAACTGTGTCTTTGGATGTTTTCTATTAGCATGGTTCATTGCAGGTTTGAAAAAAAATACCTCTAAGAATCTATACGATAATGTCGTTGGAATATGTTTGATTATTAAATAATGGTGACAGGAATAAAACCACACTAACGGATTGAATAAAAAGTACCGGTATATGCGTCGAACGAAAACAGTCACTTATTTGAACAATGCAGACTGTCATTTATCTTAAATTTATCATCTTTCCTGTTTTTTTTTTTAAGTTCTATGATCTAACCCAGAAAGCGGTAAAAAACTATTGGCAGGGGTTTTGATCCACGCATGAGTTATGAAATACCATCCAGTTTAGCACTTTATGTTGTTTAATGCAGTGGGGGAGCTTTGTCATAAGTTTAATTCTTGTAATTACGATGTTTCCCGCGATATCTGTGACAATGTTATAAATTATAAATACTTTCCACTTACAGGTAACGTTTGGATATACAACATTTACAACGATTGGTCCTCAGACCCAGCAAATCCAGACAAGTACTGCCACCCAACGTGTTATTTGTTTGCTTTCTGGACCACCACTCTTGTATATATTTTCATAGGCGCCACCATTGTGTTAGGTTGCTGCACCGCCTGCATCGCTGCATGTTGTTCTTGTATTTTCAAATCTAGTTCCTAAGCTCAAAATTTTGTTGCATTTAGTGTTAGGATTAATAGATTGTAGTTTTGTATGCTATAATGTAACTTTATGCACAAGGCACGTGGAAAGTGGGAGCTAAATGATACAGAAATAATACCGGGTATATAAATTCTGTAAACATTTTAAATGCAATTATATTTTGTAAATATTGTTAAAAATGTGTTAAAGTTAAAAAAAATCAGTTCTTGTATTAAAAGCTGAACACAGAGATTTATTCTCTTTCTTTGGTAATCTCTTTTTCTCCAATCCCTCGTATGCCCTCCCCTTGACTTTTTCGGAGTTCGTATTATTTCTCTTTATTTACATTTTCATTTTTTCCCTATTGTCCAAGCTGAATTACAAATAATTTTAAAACTCTGTTTCTTAATAAAACTATTTACTTATCGATAGGCGCGGTTAAAAAAAAAAATCATGTACGGGAAGAGAAAGACAGAAGTGGGCGAGGTCGGAGCAATTAAAAAATGCATAATGTTCACAATTTGCAAAAATCCATCCAAATTGAAAAGAAGTGTGTATTAAATGGCATATAAACACAAATATTCCAAGAGGTGTTTGTGAAACGCTGATGCCCCCAGCCCCCGTAAGGCAGCTTATGGCCAGTGTTGAAGTTTCTCTAATGCAATTCAGACTCCAAGGGTCAAAGTCAAAACTGGTATTCAGAGAAAGGTCATATCACAAGGAATACATCTTTATTTAAAGCAATTTCTAAATTGTTCGCACATCTGGCCAAGGTTAATTAAAAAGTGTGTCAAACCCTATGTCAAGGTATAAAAGATCTATTCATATCCATTATTAAAATTCTTGTCATTTGAATACCTCTCTGTGAAGTATGAAATCTATAGCACTAACTGTTTAAAAGTTTTGAGAAATTAAAATTATATCAAATTTTGCAAAAGTCATGTCAAAGGTAAGGTCAAGAGGTCAAACCCCCCCCCCATGATTTCCTAAGAAACGTTTAGTCATATATTGAATACATCTGTGAAATATGGAAAGTCGTTGCCTTACCCTTTCAAAAGTTATCGTAAAAGTCTTTTGGAAAGGCAATAACGACTTTTTAGAAAGGCGTAAAACGCCTTTTAAAAAGGCATATATACCCTTTTGGAAAGGCGTATTAACTATTTGAAAGGCGTTATAACGCCTTTTAAAAAGGCATAATAATGCCTTTTCGTATACAACACAAGTAATAACGCCTTCTAGAAAGGCGTTATTACGCCTTTTTTCGCGTTATTACGCCTTTTCGAAAGGCGTTATAATGCCTTTTAATTTTTTTTTCTCTCCAGATTGATCCTAATAGGCTTTCGTAAAAGTCAAAATTGGTATTCAGAGAAGTCATATCACAAGGAAAACACCTGTGAAATATGAAAGCCCTAGTTATAAACTGTTCCAAAGATATGGCCAAGGTTAATTAAAAAGTGTGTCAAACCCTATGTCAAGGTCAAAAGGTCTATTTATACCCATTGAAAGATCTTGTCACAATGAATACCCATGTGAAGTATGAAATCTATAGCACTAACTGTTCAAAAGTTATGGCTAAAATAATTTTTTTGTAAGGGGATGCAAACTTAATTTGTTCTCCAAAAATTTTATTTAAATTTGATTGCACAAAGAATACACTTTTTCTCTATGAAAGACATTCAAAAGTTATTGCCAAGGTTAAAGTGTTTGCGGATACACAGACAGACGGACAGTGCAAAACATTATATATAAGAATATTCGATTGGGGGAATAAAAAGCCCCCCCCCCCCCCCCAAAAAAAAAAACTTCGGGAAAAAACGATCACTTTTTCGTACACAACACAATTTTTCCATATGAGTGAACTTTCACTCGATTAATTTTATTTTCAAAGTATGCCTAAAAACCTACATTTAGCAAAGGCCCACTATACCTTAATAAATAAATGACAATAAAACTAGGATTAAAACAGATGTTACACTCAGAGTAACGAGCCATCAGGTTTCATCGAATATTAGTAATCACCTTACATGTAAATGTAAATACTAGAGATCATGTGGTGATAAATGTTCTCGACATATGTTTGCAAACTTTATTGTATGAGCAAGTATCTTAACATAAGCCTCGAAAACAGTGAATATTTTTTTTTAAAGAGAAGAAGTATAGTTTTAGCAAATCTGAACCACATTTGATTCATATCGTCATAGATATTCAGAAGTTAGGCCGCTAGGGGCTGTATAACCTAAAAGTTAGACTTAAACAATGCAAGTGCATTTCATTGTTAAAGAAAAACTTTCACTTTAATTCAGTTAAGACTTGAAATTCCCGAATAATTACATTTATTATACTTTCATGGTAAATACTACAATCTGATTGGTTTAGACGCAGTTGACAATCCGTTCTATTACCCTCAGCAACACACGTGGCAACGGGTAACACAACGGTAATGTCACATGCGTGGAAATTATGCGCGTACGGTTCACCATAGAATTCTCAAAACGTCAGTTGCGCGTTTGAAAGAACCGGAATAAACTTGACGTCAATAAAAGCTTATCTCCGATGTAGCTTACTTGAAAACAACAAACGACAGACGAAACATGCTTGCGAGTGCAAGAAATAACGAACCTTTAGATGAAAAAGGACTTACATTATCAAATTAACAATAAAGAGGTCAGTAAATCTTTTTCGAAGTAGCGGGGAGTTTGAAAGCTTTCTAAACGTGAACGTAAAGACGATCGACGATTTTTTCGCTGACATCCTAAATCAAGAAGACATTCACCTTATAATAAAATAAATGGTGCCTATAGGTAATAGGATTAAATTGGACCCCTTAAACACTTGTCAACCTCCGCTGACGCGTTGGTTGACAATGGTTTTCCTTGGGGTGCCAATTTCAACTGTTACCCTCCAAAACAGGCACCATTTATATAATATAAATATTTTTCTTGTTTTAAACCTGTTTGTAAAATGCAGATATTCAAACTCAGAATTCCATTGAAACAATACAAATTTTGAGCAGCGCACACACGTAGACCTATAAAAACATCAGAAGCGGGATCAGGTGTCATGGAGAAGAGAGCATCCCCTGTCGACCGGTCACATCCACTGCGTGCTCCTTTTCATGATCAGACAACGGAAAATCCAAAAAAATTTAATCGTGGTAAGTACATGTAAATAATCACCTAAGAATTTGTATGAAATATTCAGTCAGCATTAGACTTACTGATATATTGTATTTATTGACAAGATAATTGTATCGACCATAGAGTTTGCAAAATGTTGATTTAAAAACGAGAATCTTGATAAAATTCTTCAATTTGTTTGTCAATGGTTTCCCTCGCCTTAGAAAATGTTCATGCATAGGTATTTTAAAATGTTCTGCGTAACGAATCAACCGAAACGTATTCCATAATTTTTCGAGCAAGGGTTTCACACACCTCTCCTCATAAACCCTTGGCATACGGTGAAGTCAAAAGACGAGATTGTTTTCCGTCACGTGATCTCGAATCTATCAGGTACGCACAGATTGCGTCATCCCCTGAAATAAAGACACGTGTTAAAAAAAAAATTAAATCAAAGTTTTTTCAAGAATAATTTAGAAGCAATAATTGAGTTATGTTTATTCATTATTTATAGAACAAATCTGAAGCTTCAATATAGATTCTTAATCACATATTTAAAAGATATTGGATGACACCATGGCTATTCATATATAATGTTTATTTGTTGACAAGATTCCGTTCGCGCACTCTCTACATTGAGAGAGTGCGCGAACGGAATTGTGGGAAGGGGACCAGACCTTACGGATCGTTGTTTACTTGCGTTTTTCATTTCCGAGATTAAAGAGTAAAGATGTATCCCGATAAATATTCATTTACAAAAAACAATTGCCTGGTCGACCTGGGTGTACTGAAATCCAATCAGAACTCTGGAAAAAAATCCCGATTTCTATGAACACCGTATGCCAAGGGTGTATGAGGAGAGTAGCGTATCAGAAACCCTTGGCTAGCGAAGATGATAAGCATGTAACACGGGTATATTGCTACATTGCATGTAAACAAGAGAAGCTGAAATAAGTGTGGATTTGACCGCTCAACAGGAGCTGCATACTCTCCCTTGGTCCCACCTCTGGAATTTCCAGGCGTCCATGTTTTACACCTGTTTAAAAATTTGTAAGTTGTCTTAACGTGTCATATTTCATATGATCGATCACCGTTCATTATCTTTACCCCTTTTATATATGCTTCAATGTAGCCCTCTAAGATTTTTTGAATCTGACATTTTTTGAAGAGAAGCCCTCTTAAAAAAAGGAGAGGGCTACATTATTGCAGCTACCTTTTCACGAAAGTCATCACATTTATTATCAAGTTTAGTTGCTAGGTTTCCTTTTACGTCTTTTTCTTGTAAAATATCAAAATATAAAAACAGATGTGTCAGACTCTGTGGTGGTATCTTTTATTTCAAGGTCAGAGGATACATCAATGAAATATTGAATCGAAAATGATGTTATTAATTGATTGAAGGCCACAGCAAGAGACTTCTTCTTTTCATGCATACATGTAAGGTACATCTTCTCTGCAATATTAAGTCCTCTGCTGGAGTTACTTTAAACAAGAGGCCCAGGGGCCACATCGTTCACCTGAGCTCTGGCTATGTAAAACTAAAAGCAAAAATCAGTTCAGTATTGAAAAATTTAAATATAAAAGTGGGTTCAAGTGGGATCGTGATTTGAACAAACTTGAATCTACACCACATGAGGATGTTTCCATATAACTAAGACCAACCATGGCTTTGCTGTTCTTGAGAAGAAGAATTTTAAAGATTTTCCGCATGTATTCCTATGTTAAACTTTGACACCCCCCCCCCCCATTGTGGCCCCATCCTATCCGGGGGGTGGGTGGGTCATTATTTGAACAAACTTGAATCTGCACTACATGAGGATGCTTCCACATGAGTTTCAGTTTTCATGGCCCAGTGGTTCTTGAGAAGAAATTTTTTAAAGATTTCCCCTATGAATTCCTATGTTAAACTTTGATCACCCATCATAGCCCCCACCCTACCCCTGGGGGTCATTATTTGAACAAACTTGAATTTGCATTACCTGAGGATATTTCCACATGAGTTTCATCTTTCCTGGTCCAGTGGTTCTTGAGAAGATTTTTAAAGATTTTCCCTATGTATTCCTATCTTAAACTTTGATACGCCATTGTGTACCCACCATACCCCTGGGGGTCATGATTTGAACAAACTTGAATC